TAGTTTGCAGTACACAAACTAGATCAGAGTACACAAACTAGGTCAGAGTAGGCAAGCAACAGCTACACTGATAACGCTCTCAACCACCCTGTACTATGAAACCTTAGCTTTGCTTTAACACTTTAACAAGAACAGCCACATTGTTCAGAGAGCAACATCTTGGAATGCAATCACACTAAATTTTGGGGTTTTTTGTGAAAGTAAGAGTGAAGAAGTCAGAGATTAAATAATGCAAGCTAGAAAGATGTTGGGCAGATTCTTAAAAATTAAAGCTTTCTGGAGGGTCACTGCACGGAATCCTCTTCTAATGATATCAAGCAAAAAAAATATTAAAAATAAATCCTTGAACTTGACATTAAAATGTAATAATATCACATTACTAGTGGCGCCAAAAGAAGTTTAGCCAAAGTATTTGGGCTTTATTTCCTTTTTTGGAAAAAGAGTACACAAAAAAATGGATTGAAGTATCTTATGACATTAAAAAAGAAATCTACTGAAGATTATTCACTTAGTGTATTAAACATATACAGTTTTTATAAGGTGCTTTATAAACTTGTTGAACAATGTCTGCTCTGAGAGTATGTAAAATGGATAGCCTTTGAAATAAAACTTTGTATGTACTGAGATACTTACAACAGCTAGCATCATTAGCTTACTCTAACCAACAGAGTACCAACACAATAAAAAGAGTCAATTACTTGGCCTATAAAAATTTACTGTGTCTACAAATTCTTTCCAATTAAATCAAGTGTACCAACTAAAGAAAGGAATAGAAAGTGGACTTTTCTTAAGTCAGCAGCAGTTTGCAATAATTCCCCTCTTGTCACCTGATAAAAAACACCAGGACAAAGTTGCCCAGAGCATGCTCTCAGCATCAAATGTAATATGCTTCTCGAGAGTAGCAAAGAAAACAATCAACAACCACGAAGACCAAACCTGAAAAACAAACTTGAGAAGAACTTTGCTTTAGGATTCCAAGGACCTGCTCATGCTTTGCTTGTCTTCTGATTTACAATAAACCCTCTCTTCAGCTGAACATGAAGGGACGAAAGAGATGGAGAGGGCAACCTGTTGAGTTGTATAGTGCAATAATTTCTGACAGCTCAGGAAAAGCCCTGAGTTCAGAGAGCCACAAACCCTACGGTTTGTAGGGTGTGATGATAGGTACATTCACTGTGCCTCAGTGTGGGTGCTCCCCATGCAGGAATTGCCTGCAGCCCTCCTCAGTGGGCCACTCCTGCTCTCAGCAGGGCCAGGGGGAGTGGAGTTTCCCAGCAGGGAAACACCAAGAGGCTGAGAGGACAAACAAGTGCAAACCAGGCAGTGGCAGCTACAGCATGGCACTTAAAGTTCAGGAGCAAAACGCATACCAAGAACTCACAATTAAAGCAAAAAGGCTGAATTATTGGTACATAGCAACAAGGCTCAGGAAAGAGAGAAAGGAAAAGATGAGCTAAAAGGCATAAGCTATTTAAACCTAATGAAGACCTGTGATTCACTTGGATAGCTGAAACTGAAGCAGGGAATGCCTTCAGTTAGGGAGAGTTCACAACAGGACTCAATGGTTAAACGTCATTTATATTTTCTTTAAAGCAGACTGCCTACATCACTGTTACCTGACACTACTCAAAAGGCACAGCACGATGCCATTCCAGCTGAAAGGCAAGCAGAGAAACAGGCAATGCAGGGTAGAGAGAAAAAGTAAGGTTTAAAAATAAATTTTAAAAGAACGCTTTGAGAGTGTTTCTTTTTTTCTTTTTTTTTTTCCCCTTGGCCGTGGCACATGGTCACACAAGTAATTGGATCTACACAACAGATTGGTTTCTCACTGCTGGCTGTCCCAGCTCACCCTCTCCTGCACCAGCTCTGGTGTTTTTGTGACTCTGGGCTGAACTGCTTCTGTGTTAAGTCAGCAGAAACCTAAGCCAACAAAAAAGGCAATAGGTTTCTGCTGGGATGTCATGCAAAAGCAGGCTGAGAAAGGAGACAGGCTTAGCTGCCCTGGCAATGCAGGCTCAGTCTGGTCAGCTAGTGCATCCACAGTAGCTTTACTGGCACTTGAAAGCTCCAAATGAAGCTTTAATACTATAAATATTTATTTCGGCAAAAACACCATCTTATGCGGCATTATCTCATCTTCCCCCTGTCACACAAAGCTGTTTGCCCAGACACTGTCTGTTGAGGGGGAAGGAAAGGCTTTTTTTTGTTGTAGCTGTTTTCAATCGAGACCAAGTCTCCAGCTCAGCTTGTCACATGGCTCTGGGAACAGGTGTGCTGCTGAAACAGAGGGGCTGCAAAGGACTGGAAACAGGCAGCTGCAGGAAGGAGGGTGCTCAAACCAGGACAGAGAGTTAGAAAAGTCTGTGTTTGTAAAACTGTGCTGCAAATTCAAGCCATGCTATTCTCCTTAGTACTGTCCACACACTTAACAATTCTGCTCTAAAATAAATATGGTGTAAGTGGAAAAAAAAGAATTAATAAGAAATAGATATAAACACTAAATATATAAAACAAATATATGAATTATATATTTTCTATATCATCATCCCATCTCACAGTGAGTGAGCTAGTGTATGTACATTAAGATATTGATTCTACTATTCAGGAAATTAATTTAATTGCTGAATACGTCACACATTTCTAATGTTCCTGCTTTGGATGCAGCTGAGAGTAATCTCATAGCCTGTGGTCCCTCAAATGTCTCTCCCAGCCACATGGTTCTGCAAGATACCTTACTCTACTCCTAGCACCTTTTGAATTCTTTCCTGAGCTTATACAACTAAGCGACATGGCAGGGCTGTAATCACTCATACAAGATTTAATGAGTGCCAGAGCTAAGGCATGAGAACACTCCCAAAACAGAAATGTGGAACAGTGAAAACTTCTACTTTTAGCAGGAGTGAATAAACTTACTCAGCTACTTCCCTAACTGCAGCATAGCTGTCCTGCACCCTGGCTGTCTGAATTAACTGGAGGATCAGCTTTCCCCTTGGAATTTCAATGGCCACAGAAGGCTCAGGCAAACTCCTGTGAGCAGGAATGCAGTGGATTTTCTTGCTACCTGCTTTGCTGTGCAGATTCACAAGGCACTGGGCCCTCCATCTGTATGGATGCCACCTCAGTGTGGACTGGTGAGCACTTTGGAGCTGTCATTTTAGATTTCAGTTGTGTAGGGTAGGACAGGACAGTATTTAATAAACCAGTGTTGTCTCTGCCCAAGTGCTCTGACTAGTTACCAGAAAAAAATGTGTTTTTTTAAACCATAAAGCTTATGGTAATTACAACCATTAGAACCAATATTTACACTTGTGACTTCCTGAAAAGTTTATTTAAGTAGGCCACTCTAAAAACTATTGCTTTTAATATTCTAACAAAGGACCACAAATCATGCTGAAGTTCCTGGCTCTGCAGAGCAAAGGCTGATGGCAGTCTTATTCTGAAGCCAGTTTCATGGGGATTTGTGTTCTGTGGAATAGAATCTGAACAAGAGCCTTTAGCTGGCAACACACAAAGGTTTTCCTATATTGAAGCTACGCTGCTTTGTCTCCCAGCAGAGAAACTGGAGCCAAAGACAAACAAAGCAGAAAAGAGCGTTAAAGACAAACAGGTGGATAAGACTGAAAAAAGCACAAGAAATACAAGGACATGCTCTCTGTGCCTGAGGGACACACTCAATGGAAGGGAATCCAAATCTAAGGCAATACATTTTGGACTCTGAAACCCGGATCAAGACTCAAGACTGTTGCCAGCATCCCTTCATTCAATTGATACAAAACCAACTCCTCACTTGAAAAGATTGCACACTACAGAAACAGTCACTTCACATGGCTTATGAAAAATGTTAGCTACCCTAAATTCTTTTGCTCTTCATTCCACAAAGCCATATAACAATGAACATGGCCCAATGAAACAGGAATTCAACTGTCATTGAATAAATGTATTCAGAATGCAAAATGTTCCTCTTTGAATGGATGTTTGATTAATAGAGGGAAATAAACAGACCTTTAAGCTGTACAACACTGTAAAAAACAATCCTTTCCTGTACGTAGGTATGACATAAGCATATACATGCATGTTTCTCTACTAGTTTAAGGGGACTAGCATAATAAACCTCATCTTTCACATTGCTGCATCTTTTCAAGAGCATTTTTCCACAGGTACTCAAACCTGTTCCACAGGTACTAAAACTTCAGCTTTAGGATTAACGTAACCCAACCTCGGTGTTCAGGACTCAGAAAAGAATGGCTGCAGCAGTGCAAAGGCATCACCAGTGAAGGGGCTGCAATGCCCCCTTTTATTTAATTAATTCTAAGGTTTAAACACTCGCAACAATTTTTATAAAAGCTAGTTCATTGTTCAGCTACAAGTTTATTTTGCCTGCAACTGTAAGCTCTTTGTGTCTATTGTTGCTCGTGAAGGCTGAATTCCCAATATAAAAAGAGTCAGCCCACTCAAATGCTTTCATGGGAACATAAGGGCCTCACAGTGAGGTTTGACAATGCAGCTGGACCAACCGAATGGCTCACAGCCACCAAAATGAGGCAGAGTCAATCTTTTCTCTACCTTGCCTCTGCACTGGCTCTGGGACACCTGACCTCTGATTTGGCTGAGTTTACTGAACTGGTAGAGAAATAATTCATCAGGAAAAAAAGAATGGTTTCTGTTGGTTTATCAAGTGAGGCCAGATGAATGCTAATAGAATGAACAACAGGACACCTCTTTCAATGCAATCCAGTCATTTGACTGGTTCAGCCACCTTGTGCAGTGAACAGGTCACTTGTGAGTCAAACATGGTGACAGGACCACAGTGATGGGACTTGAGACAAAAGGCAGGGTAAGAGAAGCGGTTTTGTCTTATTACACATTAACTTTAAGATTATTTTATACTGATATTAATAATGAAATAGCATTCTTACCTTTAATTGCTAATTTTTCCATTCATCTGCATCATTGCCAATTTACTAACAGATCATAATACAATAAAACGAATATTTACTTACCTACAAATCCTTTCTCTCCAACTAATTTAAGAGCAATTTTATCTGCCAAAACAGAAGAATTTCCATGTGCAATGTTAGCAAAAGGTCCAGCGTGGACAAACACTGGTGTTCCCTGGATGATAAAAAAAATATATGTAAGTAATTCAATGTATAGAATTATGGTTTAACTCCATCCCCCATCCAGTAACTAAGCCCCACACAGCTGATTACTCACTCCTCTATCAGTGGGATGGGGGAGCAAATCAGAAGGGTTAAAGTCAGAATACTCATGGCTTGAGATAAAGCCAATTTAAAAGGTAAAGAAAAGACTGCACACACACAACCAAAGAAAAACGAGGAATTCATTCCTGCTTCCCATGGGCAGGTAGGTGTTCAGCCCAGGAAAGCATGTGTAATTATGTGTAATTGTTACTTGGGAAGACAAATGCCATCACTCCAAATGTCCCCCCTTCCTCCTTCTTCCCACAGCTTTGTATGCTCAGCACGATGCCACATGGTTGGGAATACCCAGTTGGGGTCAGCTGTGTCTGACTGTGTCCCCTCCCAATGTCTTGCCTACCCCACAGCCTGCTTGATGGTGGGGTGAGAGGCAGAAAAGGCCTTGACTCTGTGCAAGCCCTGCTCAGCAATTACAAAAACATTCCTGTGTTACCAACACTGTCTCCAGCACAATCCAAAACACAGCCCTGGACTAGCTGATGTGAAGATAACTAACCCTATCTCAGGCCAAACCAGCACATTATGTAAGCAACTCAATAATTTTTCAGACTTATCAAAGTCACAAATAAATCAAAGCACATATAGCAAGGAAATGCTATTAGACAATTTAGGGGAACATCTCAGGTACTTGAGACCTCATTTACCTGCTTCATTCCTAGAAAGGTAATAAAAAGTAGTGCAAACCTACACAACTTCCTCACCCCACCTTGTACTAGTTCATGTTTCATATTTCCACAGCTCTAGTACTGTGGTGTGCTATTCTGGCACACATCCTGTTACAAGCACTAAGTGCAGCACTGCAGATACCCAAGGAAGAGCCCAGCTCCAGCCCTGTGTGCTCCTGTTTTCCTCACTGGCTGCAGCAGCCATTCCTGCACTGGCAGAGGAGCCAGCAGAAGCTATGAGGGACCAGAGCCAAGGGTTAAGGAGCTGGAGAGGGAGATGGCAAGGGACATGCTGGGGTGCAGTGGGGATACTGACACAATAGAAAACACATTCACTGCTGCTGGAAGCCCAGGTCTGCACTAGATACCATACAGGGAAAATGGACAGAGTTGATTTTCCCTGTGTAAATACAAATACATGGTGTCTATGTCTAATGGCATACTCCTTGTCTTTCCTTTCTCTGGTTTAGATTGGTTTTCCAATCTAAACCAGAAAAAGGAGAGGCAAGGAGTAAGCAAATTAGCTATGTATATGAAATTTGTGAGGTAGAAAGCAGTTCTCGGCCTCCCTCTTATATTTTTGGCAGGGATCCAAAGGAAAGGAGAAATTAGAAAATAAGCATTCTCAGAAAGGGATTAGGATTAGGTGAGATAACATTAACTGCTGTTTTTTCTCTAAAACAGAATACACAATCAGACAGAAGAATGTCACTTCAGCTGTTCTACTACAAAATAATAAGGCAAACAAATACCCATTGTTGTGTTTATGCATCTTAAAGCACCCAGCTGGTTAAAGAAAAGGTAAGCAGACAATTTCACATTATTTCCATTGATGTCCTTCTCACATTCTGTACTAGGAGATACCGCCAGCCCTCAAAATTTCAGGCAGCCTACCAGGCAACCTCCTTCAAGTTTTGACCAGAAACACCAGTTAAGGAGGACAGAGTTCTATGGATCAGCTGCAGGGCACATCTAATAGTCCCCTGAACCACAGCTTGGAAACTATTAACCATAAAATACAAGTTGATTCTTCCTCCTCCCTTCCCCCATCCACCAGTGTCTTAAGGAAACAACCTACATAGGAAAATCTCTATTTCATTACTGTAATCTAAGTGGTGTTTTACAGAAAACATGGACATTTTAGTAATGATGACTAGAAATCATATACAAAAATGATATATCAACAAACAGCATCTCTTCTTACAGCTTCCTTTGAAGTAATAGCATATAATTAATTGTTTTGCTCAGAGGAAAGACAAGCAACTTTTTAGCCACTGCCACATGCACACACATGGGTGGGGGCTATTCTCCAGGAACAACATAATTAAGCTACAGCTCAGATAACTCTGCCTCGTACATGTCAGAGTAGAAAGGGGAGCCAAAAAAGTAAATGAAGGAGAAATCATGCCCTGTAACAAGAGAATTTATGTAGATCACTATAATCATAACATAGTGCTTACTATGGGTTAGCTTTTTTTCTCATTTTCTATCTGCTAATGGACACATACTGCAAAATCAACTGAGATTTTACACAGGTACACAAAAACTTAACATGAACTACAAGTGCCTTCAAAGCTTTTAATTTGGGCATCAGACTAATAGGTGCCATGCAAAATATGTTATCCCTATCCCAAAGAGCTTGTAACATAAAAAATCAAATGCAAACAACTCTCACCAAACTAAGTTGAAGGTTTACTTCTACTTTAATCCACTATTTGGCATTCAAATAAGTCATAAGTAGGACTTATGAGTCAAATAAGTAGGACCACAAATTTCCAGCTACCAGACTCAGATCCATAAGGTTTATTCCAATTTGTCTTTTATTACTCAGTAAGACTAATTTTACTCTTCCGACCCCTAATTTCTTGTGGCAAGCAATCACAGGACTGGTCTTATGAGAGCCCAGAGCACACACTGGGCAGATGTGATGCACGGACCCACAGCCACTGCCAGTGACTGGGCAGCCCAGCACACACTGCAGCACCCATGCAAAGAGAGGTGCCAGAAGGGTCTCCTCCCACATTCCCTGTGCTACTGTGCTTCCAAGAGTTCGTCCACACAACATGGATAGGAAGGGAATGTGGACTGCAGGATCTAAAATCCAGAATATTGGAAGTCAAGAGGCTCCCATGACTAACTTGAAATCCAAACATACTACTAAACCACTGGCATAGACAGATGCTCCCCTGGAGCTCTGAAATCCACCAGAAGGAAAGGAAGAGCAGTTGGAATGTTTTCTTACAAGAGCAATCCTGGAAGAAAAGTACAGTCTAGGTACTGAAGAGAGTGAACTCCAGCAGGACCTTGGGAGCCTCAGGCACACCATGGAACAGGGACAACAATGTCTTCTCAGGCCAGCTTTAGTGACTGTGCCAGTCCATCTGTCCCACTTATTTCTGCTACACTCTTAACAAACTATATGGAGAACCCAACAGTGGCACAGGGATGCATTCTGCTGACTGCTTTCAGTACAGAAAACATTATTATCCAAGTTTCAGTAAAAGAAAATAAACCCTGAATGTCAATAAATATCTGAAGTTATCTGGCCGCTAGCAGGATGTTTATAATACTTATTACCATTCTTCTCTCATCTTTACTATGAGTGGCACTTCAAAAGTAACACAACAAACCACCCCAGAGCAGCCAGCCTGCAACTACAAAGGGCTGTCCCATAGAGCAGCTGCTCTGTTACGCGTGGTATAAATAAAGGCTGAACATTAAGGGATCAGTCGACAAGAGAACAAATCTGTCATGAGGAACAGAGATAAACACTATGAAATCATTATGTACATTCCAAACAAAGTAATCTCAATTCTACAGCACTGGATATAAGTAAGCTCCACCAAAGTCTGTGGTTATTGTAGATGGAGTGCTCCATGTCTCCCATTTTCAGATTTTTACTGTCATTCCTGCATATAAAACACTGTCAATCACTAACACTTCCAGGCAGAATTTCTGGTGTCAGAGTAGCAGGACTGTGACAGAAAGCAACCCACCACGAAACCTCTTTAAAAACCAGCAAATTAAACCACACATCAATTCACATATGAAAAAAAGCACTGACATAAGTTGCCAGTTCAGTTCCACGCAGGACTGACTTTTGGTAATTTTTGATTTATGACCTTCTAAGCCCCTTCTCCAGTGCATGCGGACATCCATATGAAGTTGGTGCAAATCTACTGAGCGTGTTGTTCTTCTCCCTTTTCACAGGCCCTTAGAAGCAACTCCCCAGACTTCCAAGGCTTAACACAATTCTCATCCACAGGCTTGTGGCCAGACCACAGAGGGGTGCAGCTGCACTGGCTACTTCTATCAGGCTACTCTCTCTGCAATGGCTCCTTCCAGTCACTGCTACCCACAGACACTATGGCTTACAAATTATGTCCAATCAACTGTCAGTTGATTGTCAGTTGTCATCCAGAACTCCTGCTCTCCCTCATCCAGCAGTCTTTTTGCCATCCTCCAAAGTGATCTGGAAGATCTGCTTTGGTGAACAGTTTCGTGCCTAATTGCCAGACACGTCCATGGCACATTCTGAGCCGTATTTGTGTTCTCTGTAATCATATTATTCTGTTTTTTCACCACCTATGTGCTGTAGGATTATTTCCAATTTTTCTGTTGTCAAATCATGGTGCTGTTGCTAAAGGTCCTTACACTTTTATGAAGAACTCTTTCTCCCCAAAGGGATTAGGATTATGTTGCCCAATTACTGCTGGTAACCTCTTTGGAAACTTAAGATGCTAACTTTTGGATGCTACTTATTAGGTTTATTTCAAGTGTAATGTAGGCTTCCATTGTCCTCATTTCTGATTTGCAATTCACACATTCATCAGAAAGATGATATTATCTATAGCAGAAGAAATACTACTACATCTGCCACCCCAGGGTATACTAGGATAAGTTTGGCTTAAAATCTGCCATGCTAGAGGGCTCTAAACTCACAAGTGGAGCACTGGAGTACATTCAAGTGTGTGGGGCACAACATCCTCCTTGTTCCCCTCCTTTTTCTTTTTTAAACTGAAGCTATTGAAAGTAGCACCTCTTACAGTTATTCAGATGAAGAATTAAAAATAATGAAGAGAGCTCAAGAGCAGCAACAGCACAGGCAGTAGTAGAGTGGGCCACTGCATCCCTAGGAAGGTGAAGGGTGTCCTGGGGGGCATCAGGCACAGCATGGCCAGCCAGGCAAGGGAGGGATTGTCCTGCCCTGCTCTGAGCTGGGGCAGCCTCACCTCCAGTGCTGGGAGCAGTTTTGGGTGCCACAATGTAAAAAAAGACATTGAGCTGTTAGAGAGTGTCCAAAGGAGGGCCATGAAGATGATGAAGGGCCTTGAGGGGAAGTAATTTGAGGAGTGGCTGAGGTCACTTGGTCTGTTCAGCCTGGAGGAGACTGAGGGGAGACCTCACTGCAGTTACAACTTGCTTGTGAGGGGAAGAGGAGGGGCAGACACTGATCTCTTTTCTATGGTGACCAGTGATAGGGCCTGAAGCTGAGTCAGGGGAGGTTTATGTTGAATACTAGGAAAAGGCTCCTCACCCAGAGGGTGGATGGGCACTGGAAGAGGCTTCCCAGGGAAGTGGTCACAGCACCAGCCTGACAGAGCTCTAGAAGTGTTTGTCTCAGGCTCATGGCATGGTTCTTGGGGTTGGTGCTGTGCAGGGCAAGGAGCTGGGCTTGGTGATCCTTGGGGGTCACTTCTAACTCAGCAGGCTCTGTGATTCTACATGAGAGCAATGACACAGCCCAAAAGGACGTCAGCCAAAGCACAGCACTATCTTGGAAAACATTTAGATAAACTGGGGATCTCCATTACTTGATTAGGTGACTCATATTAGCCTGGAAGCCAGCAACTATCCAAAGGGTGACAAAAATTCATCTTTAAGACTCAAAGTGGAGGAGTGGAGCATGAAGCAGTCTTCTGAGCTGCTTTGGTCTGCTGTTTTAAAAAATAACTTTGTGAGAAGAATATGGGGCAAAATGAATCTTTGGGTAATGTGGTCAGGGCCCTGCTAACAAGCAACAGTGTTTGATGAAAGGTGGCAGATGTTTCAGCCATAGCATAGATTAGACTAGAAAAGAATACCACATAAAAGGCAGGAATTTTATTGCATAGAAATGTGAATATAAAGAAACGCAGGGAAAAAATAAATGCATGCATGTCCCAGAACCAAATGCCTATCGATCAAAAGAATCTCTTCTGACATTTATAATTGTCTTTCAGAACACTGCAACAAAACCAACAGATATGCAAAGTGCAAATAGAGTGACTAAACAGTCAGAATCAAAGCTACCTTGTCACTGGTGCTTAACACACACAATGTTATCTGAGTGGTGATTATAATACTGAGCTTTGGCCATGACATTCTCAATGCTATCTGACCTCCAGTTTCTGCTATTGGATGTTATATTAAAATTATCACACATATACATACATTCTTCAGACAGCCACATGAAAGAACAGGTTTCCTTTGCAGGGGCAAATAATTAAGATGGTTATAATAAAATAACATAGACTTAAATTCTGTTTTCCTAATATTCCCCGAGACTAGGAAGTTGTTCCCGTCCAAACTCAAAAGCAAAAAGTAGTTATCACTTCAACATGCTGTAGAAAATGAGACATTTTTATCAACTAGTGATTGCACTGGTATCTTTCTGCATTCTTCAACTTTTCATCATATCAAGAATCATAGTGAAATACTCCAGCTATGTAATTTTGACGGTCAAATGAAAAAAGATAGACACTGCTTTTTCTCCAAGTGCATTTTTTTCAAAGATGCTTCATTATTTTCTCATTTTTCTTTCTCCTTCTCCCCTTGAATGTTGCTCATCAGTTTCCCACCAAAACATCAATACCAGACTGCCCAGGCACGAAGTTAGCTTGCACTAATTCTACATTCTTTAAGCTTATGGAAGAAAGCTCACTAGGGTAGGTGTAAAACATCCCTCTCAGAGCCCATGAAAGCTTCATTTAGTCCATGAAGGCACTGTGGCAAGATAGGGTGGCTGGGAGCCATCTTTTGAAAATGCATAAACAGCTGAAAGGACCCTCCTGTGACTTTGAATGGCACAAACTGTAATACAGATTAGAACAGCCACAGCAAAGCACCTTTTCTCCACACAAAATGCTGGGCTGTGGGAATTGTCATGAGAACATACAAAGAAATACACAAAAAGGACACTTATCCATGAGAACAAGGTGGGAAATAGTAAATCTGTGACTTAAAAGATGAACCTCCCTCCCATTGTGCTCAGAAGCAGCTCAACAATGCACTGCAGCTTGTTTGCAACACTAGGTAAAATTATGACTATAGCCAGATCTCAAAAAAGGAAAAGCACAACAAAAATATATAAATACAGGTAGAGTTGAACAGTTAACATAAAGAAATGGATGTTTGCTAGAATGCCTTTATGGATCAGACCCTGGTTTGAATGTTGAAAGTCAAGCACAGCTGCTGAAGAGAAGCATGATCAGCACAGTATGGAATTTGAAAGTTGGAGAAGGGCAGGCATCATAAGCCATACTTACCTCTAATGTCTGCATTAGTGTGGGTTTAATTGCATCTTTCATCAAAACTGCCAAAGCACCAGTTACTCCCTAAAAGACAAGAGTCCACAGTTTAAGGAAGTCAATTCTAAGGTGCAACATTTCCAAGTTATATTTATAGTTTAAAAATCCTTACAGTTCAAAGCAGTGTTGCAGTGATGCATAAAGAATTTATTTAAATATTACCTCAAGACTTCTAAAATTCTGTATTTACAGTGTGTCTAAAACAAAAATTATTTTATTCTGAATACACTTAAAAGGCAACAGGCAACTTCTTTGTCCTATTTTATGGAAAGATCAAAAATAGAATTAAGTGATCAGCATGAGGATGTTCAAGGTAACAAAAGATGAAGTGCCAAAGGCCACTGAGACCTGAGAAAGCAAGAAGGCAACAGTTTGCTAAATCTACCTAAAGAAATGACAGATGTATTTCTTTAATGACATAATCTACAGCATAAATCAATAGCTAGCAACAACCATAAAGAGTATTTTTCAAGACATGTACAAATATATACATAGCAGATACAGGATGAAAGCAGCCACAGAGTTTACTAGGGGCAGATAAGAAATACATCACAAGGTTAAAAGTTAGAGGTGCCTTACTGTGATGATGAGATCACAAAAGGAATTGAGCAAACTCCTGAATTTTGGTTGCGAAAAACTTTACTCCTCCCTAAAAATTCTGTTGAAATATAAATTTCACACTGACTGACCTTAAAAACCTTAAAATAAATAAAAGTCATAACAACCTCTACACCAAATTTCAATGCTTATTCTAGGGAAAAAAAGAAAAGGCTACAGAGTGTGCACATCACTATCAGATTTTATGAAGAGTGATATCTAGAAACCAACAGCATATGTTCAAATTTATTCTTGTATTACTTTGATTTTGAGATGATGGTTTTCGTTTTGAAAGAACTAGATCATGCTTCAAAAAAACCACAGTAATGTTATAAAAGGTGGCTCATACACTTGCCAGAGAAGAAGAAAAAATATATTCTTCTTTTTTACACTTGCAAAAAAGAAGAATATATTTTTGCATTGAAAAGAAACATGAAAACCAAACAAAAATCCTAGCTGCTGTAAATTGTTTAAACTGAAGATTAAAAAACATGGGTACAATATCCAAGTTGCCTATAAAGAGATGAGCAATAATATTCAAATAAAGAAAAGCAATAGAAATAGTGCCTTTATAATTCCCAACACAGCTTTTGTCAACTAACCCCAAATTTGAGAAATCTGCATGAAAATTTTGACGACAACAGATAAGACATAAAAGTATGTGATGATTAAGTGCAGTATTTTATAAAATACAATTTTCCCCTTTCTGAGCATCACTTCTGAGCACAGACTTTAGAGGAAAAAGACACAGAATATTTGGCCTCAGATAAAACTGAATTGAAACCAAAACAGTAAAACTGGCTTCTACTGATGCATAGATCAGTAGTAGTGCAAGTGTTTCCTTGGAGGGCTGTGAAGCAGAGAGAGGGAAGGAAAAGATTTTTCTTTGCACTCTGCATCTTCCAATTTTTACAAAACCCAATGGATCCACAAAGATATGAGAAGCTGATAGGAAAACAGCATGGTTTTTCATCTTCTGAATTAGATTGCTGCTTCTTAAGATGTAGATTTTAGAAGCTAGGATTAAAATGCAAGGAAACATAAGCACTCCAGCTCTTTCAAAATGGTGAGACACCACCACCTCCAAAAAAACAGCCTGGGGCTATGTTGTTTATAGACCCAAATGCTCTCATTTCGAGAGGAAAAAAAAAAGCCAAATCCAAAACTTTACATCTGGTCTTTCAAGTGGTCAACAGCAGGAATAACTACCTGAGCAGCCACAGATCAGCCCTACTGGAAAGAAGGCTTGGGGGAAGAAGAAGTGAAAAATAAAATCAGGACATTTCTCACCTAGCCTCCTCCCCTGCTTGTTTTCTGATGTCTTCACCAATCTGATTAAAACAGTGAAGTAAAAAACCACTTCCTCTGCATTTGAACTTTTTGGGAGATATTACTTATGCATTTTTTCAGAAATACTAGACACACCTTCTGGACAAAACAACTCATTTTATCTGAAGCTGAAAGCAAAGAAAAAAGATGTAAATAGTCCAATAGGCATATCTTGTGCCTCCCATGGTTCTTAACCAGGTTTGGTGTCAATAGCATTCCTTAAAAGCTAAACAAACTCTTTTTAGGTTTTCATACCTGACACAACTGAGAATGAAGTTTTCATTTCTCTGTATACTCAATCCTCCAAGTATCTAATATACAATTCCTACAGCTCACTCCAAGTCCTGGATCTGATTCACAAAGCTGTTTAAGGAATCAAGTTCCTATTTCCAATTCAGAACAGGTAAACTTCTTATAAAAGAATTAGGGACTTTGACACTTGCACACCAATTAAGCTTGTGAGAGCCCAAAGATCATTAGATTCCCACTAACTCATTTCAGAGGAAAGAAGCAGGGCTCTGAATCAATTGTATACAGATGTTCAACTTTTCTGGGTTCCTTCCTGGAATTGATCACAGGTATTCCTGAAAATAATGCTCCTTCCATCTATCCAGCAGCCATCAGGGCAGGTATGCTCCCCAGGACAGCACAGATCACAGCGCATAAAATAAATTATACACGACACAGGAAAGGCAAACTTAGATGAAAATCCAAAATACTTTCAAAGCAACTTCCAGTGGAGCAGTCTCTGAAGTCTATCAAGACTGGAAATGAAAGCCAACACCAGATGACAAGGAAAGTGATTGAAAGTAACTACTATGAAATGAATAAAGGCTACACAGACTGAAGGGCAGAGAAAAACCCTTTTCTTTAAAAGGAAAATAATGAAGTACTTGCAACTCCCCTTCAATTGAAACTATAGTCTCTAACAAAATAATAATACTTTCTATAATTTCATTCCTATAACAAAACTAAACCTTAAACCATAATGTGAGAAGAACTGCAACTCCTTTTGTTTGAAGTGAACACTGTACACAATGTTTCTGACGAACCAGAGAACAAAATCTCACTAGCTGACAGATCATTTACATAAGCAAATACGAAGCTATTTATTTTTTTCTTTTGGTTCCAGAAGTACTGAAAGCGAACAGTATGGCACAGCAAGTAAGCTGAGACGAAGTCTTATTTAAAAAAAAAAAGTGACATATTTATTTAATATTTTTCATATCTGCTGAAATACTGATCTTGGTCATATATTCTGATTTAGCTTCACATAAAAATATGGTATGTGTCCATCAGAATTCTACCTCACTGTAAAAGCCAAAAAGCAATTAAGTCTTCAAAATACTGTACAATGAGCACCACATTTTGGCAAAGAGTTCAACATATTCCATTACAGAGGATAGACATTTAATCCATTACTCTTGTGGAAAGAGTCTTCTCAATTCATGAAATATTCAATTTATCTTTTTTCTATTATTCCTAGCCTGTCTCCGCATATGGTTTATATCTGCCAGTGTGTATGTTAGGTTTTACTATTGTATTATGATAAATATATTGTATATAAAGTCAAAATTAAGAGCAATTGTATTTTTGTGAAGTATTTTGTGTGTACATCTGGAAACAAATCACAGAGAAAGGTTTAGAGGTTTTGGTTCACATTGATTTCAAAAAACTAAAGACTACTGTCAAATATTTAAACTTGCATAAATTCAATCTGTGTAGGACATAAACATGAACCCCAGATTTTTTTTTTTTTTAAGATAGGTAGAAGTGACCCATTATTCAGGCTGTGTGGTATTTCTCATGATAAAAGTGCCTTTAAAGTTTCTTAGAACTATATGCAATTGCAGTTCTTTGGGCTAAAATGTTCCATGTCAATGGACGATGATAGATTCAAGCTTTTGAACTTGATTTTGTTTTACAAAAATAGAAGTCAAAATTATTGAACCTGGATTGAGAGCATTCTAGCATCTTGTAGAGTGTTCTCCCTTTGTTCAGCTGTCTTGAAATCTTCCCTTACTGAACTGTAGAGCTTTACCTCTTCACTGACCCTGACCTGAAAGAAGGACGGAAATTCAGGAGAAAAATTGCTTCACATCAAACCTCTTGATGTGTGTGAAAATTTTCCCAAGAAATAATCCTTGGATTATATCAACAGAGGCAGCACAAGCTGCAGGGGAAGAGGGGAAGAGTAGAGACTGCATTTAAAGTCTAGAAATGGTAGGTTTAGTTGCAAGCTACTCAAACAGACTGACCACCTGTGGGAAGAAACCATCAAAGGAGACAAAATGCTGCATGAAAGAACAGAAATTTATCTTCTTCATGTATATGAATTATGACTTGTTATGGTTTTTGATTATACTTCTCCTGCTGTTGTTTCCAGAGGATTCAACTTTATACAGTAGACTTTCACCAGTGCAGTATGGTTTTTCATAAGATCTCTCCCCCTGTACAAAGTAAGCATTATTTAATTTGGTACAGAAATCATAGAGACCCCACTGCTAATTTCTTTTGACATTTTTTAATCCCAACACCACAGCATCTGACTTCTTCAGCAACATTAGTAAGTCTTCAGAAATAAACAATTGCTCCTGTTTTTCAAAAGAGAAACCTGCACACACAAGAATCAAGCTCAAAAATATTCACCAATTTTGGATGCTCAACCTGAGACAACAGAAAATATTTTCTCCTGGTTCAAAGTTCTTGATGGAGTTTCACTCTTTCCATAAACTTCAGTTGTTAAGCTCCCTAGTATTAAACCAGACTGAGGAATGCCTAACTCCTTATGTACTGTAAGAATCAGTTTGTGTGGACAGAGCACCTCATGAACGTTTTGCTAAGAACAGAGGAATAGAGCTCTCCAAAGAGATGCTTTACATCCTTAACCATGAATATTCCTCTTATTCCCATGGTTCTCATACTCATTTTTAACACACTGCACAACAAAAGAGGTAGAGTTCCTGCGCTTCCCAATCATGACATGCACCCAAGTCTTCCCTGTGCATGGTATGGAGAACTTCCAGAAGGAAAAGAATGCAGCAGCATAGCTGCAGATGCTCATAACACATGTCCTTCAGACTCTGATGACTTTTTCTTTCTGGGCAGGTTTTTTTGTTTCTTTTTTTTATAATACAAAACACTGCTTTAAAGAACAACTAGAAACATATGTTCAGTACAAGAAAAACTATCAAATGATTGAGACACTAAGCATAGGAAGTTTGTTTTAAAAAAAGCCAAAGAAAACTGAATTAGTAATAGACATTTTGCTGAGAACTACTTTCATTTTAGGGACATGGTGGAAAAGTTCTAAAATTCTTTTGCCCCAGTGGAAAAGCCATTTCTTTCATTCATCAAGCTGATTAGCATTAAGTGTTAGCAGGTCAAATATTTTGCAGTGCTAATAAATAAAAGTACCTTCATACAAAAGAAGTGTCAAAATTAAAATCACGCACTACAAATGCAGTTTTAATTCTAACACTAAATAATTTTAAAGTATTTGCATATGCCTTATAATGTAACTTATTCCCCATTCCTTCCCCACTTGGCCCAGACAAAGTTATACAATTGAAAAGCAAAAGCAAAACTTCAACAGCTAGAATATTAAATCCAGTTCTTCATGTCTCCTGCATAATTGGGAATAGATGATTTACTTTGAATTTTAATGACGACCGAAGTTGAAATTTTTAACCTTATCTTAATTTCATTCTTAAATCCAGGCACTCTAGATATCACGTTTTCATTTCTTTATTAAACTGGAATCCACTAAGGCCGTGAAGGTGCTCCTGGCTTGCAGATTTGCTATCTTTGCTGACAGGGCAGGATACTCATTGCTTTACTCATTCATTACTCAGTAAATTTGAGCAGATGTTCACAAAACAGGGAGAAACAGGAGAAAACATACAGAGCCTGCATGATACAGGCAGCCATCAGAGATGGGCTGGCATCAGACTGTTCCTGGCATGCAGCTGATTACAAACATCAGCTGGTAGCTTCTGGCTGCACTAGAACCTGCCACACACAACCTCACGTGACCTTCCAACCACTGTTCAATGACTCACAGCCCAGATACAAGGGATAGAATGTGATTTAAAGAAAAAACATACTGTTTTTTTTTCAGAAGCTGAAATAGGGAATGAGGAAACAGCAACTAGTGAAGGTAAAGAAGAAAAAAAAAATCTAATGACAGATAAACCTGTCCCAAGCACTACCAGCAACCTTTGAATTAAGAACAGCTTGTTTCCATTCTGATTCAGTGGTACAGGCATTCATGTGGTAACTATCACTGCAACATCTGAGCAGACTCTAAAAGCACAGTAGCAAACATTACCAGCTCTCTCAAATAAGAGCCCACACTTTGACTCCCTCCAGCACTGAATTGTTTGCCTTAAGAATTGCAGAAAATGATCCAAGTAGGTTATGGAGACCAGAGGCTTTCTGAGCCAGATGTTACCAGAGTTGAAGAAATGAGTTCTACATCTTGTTCTCATTCTCAAGCAGGTTTTGGCCCAGAAGATGATCTTACTTTGATATCTGACTGTGCTGTTCAAAGCAAAATCTTTGGCATGTACCTGCCTTTTTAATGCTTCAAGAGGCAAAACAAACACGTCTGAGGTTATTCACAGGTCTCTACAGCACTGAACATACCAAATCCTCTGCTGTTACTGGTTGTCCTTTCTTGTCATTAGCCACCACCATTCTCCCCAGTCTTTCTTTCATATCTTGAAGGCTGGTGGTAAGTGCCAGGATGGCCATAATCTCACTTGCAACAGCAATATCAAACTGAGCCTGTAAAGTAGAAATGAGAATCATGAACAAAATCAAAGTCAGCTGAAATACTCACAGGGGATCATCAGGAATAAACTCAGGAAAGATAAATTTCACACCGACATTCAAACAAGTTCTAAATGGTAACTTACAGCTTTTGAGATTACTTAATGTAGACTAACTTTACATACAGACTGGGCAATGAGCTGTGGGAAAGAAGAGCTGCAAAAAGGCACCTGGGGGTCCCGGTAGTGGCAAGTTGAACATGAGCCAGCAGTGCCCTGGCAGCCAGGAGAGCCAGCCCTGTCCTGGAGGGCATCAGGCACAGCATGGCCAGCCAGGCAAGGGAGGGGATTGTCCTGCTCTGCTCTGAGCTGGGGCCCGCTCACCTCCAGTGCTGGGGGCAGTTTTGGTGCCCTGATACAAGAAAGACATAAAAAGATGGGAAAGCATCCAAAGGAGGGCTAGAAAAATGGTGACAGACACTGAGGGGATACCATATAAGGAGCAGCTGAGGTCACTTAGCCTGTTCAGCCTGGAGAAGAGGAGACCAAGGGGAGACCTCATCGCAGTCACAGTTTCCTCATGAGAGGAAGAGGAGGGGCAGGCACTGATCTCTTCTCTCCTGACAGGACCTGAGAAAATGGCCTGAAGTTGTGCCAGGGGAAGTTTAGACTGGATATTAGAAAAAAGTTCTTCACCCAGAGGGTGGTTGTGCAGAGAGTCCCAGGGAAAGGATCACAGACTCAAGCCTGACAGACCTCAAGAAGAATTTGGACAATGCTCTCAGGCATTAGGTGTGACTCTTGGGGATGGTCCTGCACAGGGCCAAGTCTGACTTTGATGTATCCCTTTTAACTCAAGATGTTGCATGATTCTGTGAACTTCAAACACTTTATATTCCCTGGTTAATATTCTCCATTACACTACATTTATTTGAGGACCAGTGTTGCAGACCGTTTAGCCCCTTGGCTCACATTATCCTTAGAGAAGCTCCCTGAAGGATCAAGAATTTTCTTTTTTTGTGGCAGAAACAGGAAATCATCAGATGTCTTTTGAGCTTTACTGGCCTGAGCAAAGGAACACTGCATTGTGGAGGGTTTTTTAATTATTTTTTTTCTGTAATGATCTCCAACATGTTTTTATTCTGCTTTCAAAAACATTCTTGTTACATTTGATCATTCTTTTTCTACTTAAGCTCAAAATTTAGAGTCTATGCTGTTAAGTCTTGTGCTTGACCTATGAAAACATAAAATATATCTCTGCTTTTTTTTTTTTTTAATTAAATGAACAAATATGTAAGCCAAAAAGCACGAAGAATTATATGTGGCATCAGTTCTATTGCTCTTGTAGAAACACACCCATACTGTGCAGCATTTCAGCACAACATAAGCAATAGTTTTTACTTTTCTTGAAGAGTATAGATTAGTAGTACTTGTACTTATGCACTATTAGTAAAGCTCAGGCCACATGCTGTCAGAACATAAACAGAGAAGAACAGAAAAGCCACTAATGCATTATGTGATAGGAATGTAGTGTTGGCAGTGATCAAGAACTGCAATTTCTTTGGTAATCTCTCCATCTCCAGCAATTAAGGACTACATAAAGTTTAGTAACTGACATCCTACTGCTATCTATGTAAGAAAAAAGCCCAGGACTGCTTCTATCAGACCTCTGGCAGATGTATCCCATACTAATACCAAAGGAATCTGTTCAAATTGAGAGCTTTGTCTGTTTTTAAGAAGCATCTACATAGAACATACCCCCTACCACTCTTGTGCATTTGCCTAGTACTTTAAGAGCTTCTGCCCTTTTTAAATCCATGTTCCTGCTTTTAGTTTTTGACAGCTACAGCCCAGAGCAGCCCTATTCAGACTGACCTCTATGTACCCACTTGTTTAGTCAAAACATCTGAAGACACCTGAGCACTCTTCTGCTGTGGACATAGGGAGAGAGTCCTACATACCACGGAAAAGAAAAATAGTTCTGTAACTGAGATTTTCAGCATAGTGATTCAAGTGAAATGGTGAAATCACAAAAAATGCAATGAACTTTGTTAGCATTGTGATGACATGGACTCCACTATCTTTTCTGAATTTGAGAATGTCCTCAGTAAGTCATTGCAGCATATGTAAGACAAGAAATAAGCCTGAGAAATCTATGTCCAACCCATATGGTGAAATACTTCTGATTTACCAGAATGTTTATTGGAGGACCCCAAAAAAGTTTTTATCATTGTTTCTTTATAAAACCATAAGAACAGGAAAAACATTCCAGGTAGATACTCAAAGAGTGACATAAAATTTAATTGAAGAAACAGGCACAAAAGATTGTAGTAGCAGGTGCTATTTTAACTCTAAATAACCTTTATACACCTATGAAGTGCTGACAGAAGTCTTAGCTGCAAAGTCAGTTTTTTATTGATGAAAGGATCCACCCACATGGATTCAATTGCAGGATCAAGGGCATCAGTCATGTAATACTCTTCAGAAACCACAGCATCCCTGTTCATTAAAATGCAGACTTTTGTGCCTGCTGTGCTCTGCCATTTTACACAGGTGTCATTGATTTTAAGAGTGCTAGAACATCACTCCAAATATTTATAAAATGCATCTGTTAACCATGAAGCCCTGTTTTCTCTGGATCTCTAGCTAGGCTCTGAAATGAGTTTTCCTAACTGCTAACTCTATTTCTTGAGTCACTAAGTCCATATTAAAATGTGAATGGATATGCATCAGTCCAACATCTCAAAACTGAAAGCATTAATTTTACCTGAAAAAGTACAGAAGCAATGTTTGACAGCAATATTGTCAAGTACTACTCTATAATAAAATAAGTCACATTTAACTCAGTAGTACAATTACAGTGGTAAAACACAATTAGGCTGGCAGAACCCAGCTTAAGACTAATAATCATATTGAGTCACTGAAACAAATCTAAAAGTATGAAAAGGTCTCAAGTGTTGAAGGAACTCACACCGAACATAATGCTTTGTAGTCCCAGTCCTTTATCAGAAATGACTATTAGCTAATATTGAATTTCCTGTGAGCTGCAGACAGAAAAAAATCTATTTTGTGCATTCAAAACCAAAGAAAGTGAGAGTTTCTAGTGGAAGGCATCCCTGTTTAGGGCAGAATTGCTGGAACTGGATGATCTTTCAGATCCCTTCCAACCCAAACTGCTCTAGGATTTTATGATTTCTCTTTGAAGTTCTTCTCTCCAATTTGGCTTTGCTTTACCTGCTGCAAAAACACAGCACTATGTTTTGGTCTCTTTATTTAGGGATACGTAAAAGAAAATGTTGAAGAAATGGTAAAGAAAAATTAAAGCTAGAACTTCCAAAAATGTGAAAGCCTTATCTCTACCACAAGAGCTGTTCACATCAAAATAGTCAGAACCTCATGAATTTCATGATCCAGGATGTTAAATTACAGGATCTTCATCAAATTAAGAGCCACACCAGCACAATGAATTTACTCCTCCTGATGCTGCTGTTCCATGCTGGGCTGTTCCAGAAATTCATTTACCTACATTACACCAGGAACACTTGTTCAGGTGGTGTTGGAAAAGTCTGGCTTTCAATTTATCAGTAAGTTCTTTAATAAACTTCCATAATTCCCATTACTCAACCTAGTAATGCAGGTTAGCTTTTTACACCACTGAAAAGTATGCACATACTCATTTGCTGAACTATCCCTTCAAGCCCACACAGCAAAAGCAAGCACATGCTCAAAGTTCTTACAGCTCAGCTTCCAAAGCCAAGATGCATGACAGGCAAATGAGAACTCTGAATAAAAAGCTTATTTTAAAATAATTTTTAAAATGAAATATAAATGTAATTTGAATTATGTATGTCCTACATAAATTGTTACAGAGATTTAAAAAAGAAATTAAAAGTCATACAAATTAACTTTATGAGGGCATAAAGGCATCTTGTCATAGGACAATGTTAAACCCCCGACACATGCAGTTTTTAAAGTGCTTTTGACACATTGTAGAATATGCATTGGTTTCTGCTTCTGAAAATTCAGATTCACTTACTCATTAACACGATCAGTTTCACTGCAGGATGACTATACAACAGCAACAGACATCATTATTGCAATTCAAAGTATGCTGAAAGAACTACAGAAACCCTCAGCCTCTAATGCAAAGTCTGTCCAGAATGTGATTTATTAATGCCTTTACATACCTGACGGACAAATCCCTTCTCTGTGTTTGCCTGCCCGACTGTTATTCTGCGCAGGAATCTGTCATTTGTATCCACCACTGAAATAAGGGAATGGCAAAAGCAAAACATGTTAACAAGGCCTCAAGAACAGGGGTTTTTCCAGGCATACCTGTATTCTTTGAGATTCAACACATATGAGATTCAACTGCTCCAAGAGCGTAACCAGATGGCCACACTTCTGCCCATCAGCACTGGCACTGACTTGGTTGCTCCCTTCTAGTTGATACCATTTGATGACAGGTTGAAACAACTCAAATACAGTTTATTTGAACAGCATTTGAAGCTAACAGATTCTTAGTATTCTAACATACTATTTAGCATTTTACCTACATGAGAAAAATCAGTCTTAGTAGATACAAAGCACCAGATCTACTTCAAATCGCCTGCTTCATTGCTGATTTGTTAAGAACTGACTTTAAGACTGCATGATGTTGGTCAGATTTGGTCAGTTCCTATTTTGAAGGATGATTATGCTGTCAGGTTGGTTCTTCCAGACAAGTATCTTCCACACACATCACAGTAACTAACTAACTCCACACTCAGCTGCACAGCATGAGGATGATCAGAGGGCTGGAGCACCTGTTATGAAGACAGGCTGAGAGAGTTGGGGCTGTTCAGCCTAGGGAAAAGAAGGCTCTTGGGAGACATTATAGCATCTCCCAGTACCTAAAGGGTCCAAAGAGGGACTTTTTACAAGGGCATGTAGTGATACGACAAGGGGACATGTCATTTCCTACAGAATGAAAAAATGGACTCTCTTTTTCTTAGGCTCTGTAATCCTAGACATGCTTATGTTTGCACCAAACCTAAAACAAGGGGTGCAAGGTACTAGCTGGCAATGAACTCAATCTTCTGGTAGATTTGAGTCCTGTTCATTTATAAGTGGAGACTCCAGAGAAGCTGTCAGCACTCAGAGCTCCTTCCACTTTTCCCGCTGCTTTTGGAAATTAAAAAAAATTCTCTCTTCACAGAAAAAGATGACATAATTACCCAAGAACAAGAGGGACTTTGAATGTTAATTAAACCCCAGTTCAGGGTTGTGAGTGAGCTGGGAGAAAACCAAGATTTAAGTCACTTTCCCCCTTCCTGGGCATTTCCTTTGGGGCTGTTGTAAATACCACACATATCTTTTTCCCTCTGCTCAGTCTTTAGGCCCCTAATTTCTTCAGGAATCCCATTTAAGGGATGATGCAACACAGATTCGGCCAATTCATTTTGCTTTCTATATATACACAGCCATACTCTAAAACACTACACTGCTGGCAGGAATTGCAGAACAGAGCCTGGTAGATGGAAGCTGTAGCCTTGCACCAAGCTGTGGTACCATATGGCACAATGAAGCCATATGGCAAGCTGATCTCTCCTGCACAGACTTCTCCCTTCTCTTCCTTGGAAGCTCAGTCTCACACCTAAGCAGACCTAAATGTCTTCCCTGTCTACACAGGCACTCCTAAGGGCAGGAACTTACCTTCCCACCAGCCTGGACAGCCAGTGAGCTGATTTTTTATCTGCACCTTCCTCATGAAATCATGCAACCTAAACACCCTTACCATGAAATTGTAACTGCTCCTGCAACTCCTGGTCACTGAGATATACTTACTGTGGTCACTGTGACCAATTCTCACTGTGGTCACTCACTCTCCAACAAGTTTCCAATAGCTGCACTAAGTAGTAATAAAATAAGAAATAACTGGTTTTGCCATAAAAACGAATTTTCCTTCTCCAAATCTTCCCTCTTCTTTACCCAAAGTAAAGCTTTCACTAAGATTTAGGTTCAAATAAATGTTAGGTTTAATGTATCCACTTCCTCATCCTCTAGAGATGTAAATAGAATCTGACTATCAGGGAAAGACAAAGAAGGGGGAAGCTTTCCCACTTTTCAGTATATTGTATATTTTCAAGTTAGTGTAAGCTGACCATGAACTGAAAGTTTGTGATACTTCTATGGAAACAGGTCCTGACTAAAATTAATTTTCAGAAGATGTGATAGCTTAGCTCTTTTTCCTTACAAATTTCCTGGTATGTAACAAGCTTCATAGACATATGGACTGCAGAAACAGTCCTAAATAAAACATTCTCCAAGTTATCTAAACCATTCCTAAATCCAGGGGTTTTTTTCTAAAATGTTTAAGGTATGTACATCATATAGAGCTGTGTGGAATAGAAATTTCACTAACATTGTTTGAGATTAATTAAATAACTCCCTTGAGGTTAACAGCTGTTGAGCAATGTTGCCTTCTCCCAAACCCATGCTGATAAAAAAGAGGAGTCATATTACACTAAACATTTATATTACTTCTTTATCCTAATGCAGGTCTCTTCCAGACACACTGTGTGACTAATAAAAAACATCTTACGCCACATCCCCAGAACTGTCTTGAGAAAAATATCCCAAGCCTGGGATGACATGCACACAAAGGGCACACCAAAGCATGGCCAAGACTTCTCCCTTCTCAATAGATTCACCCTTTTTTCTAAGCATCACAATGCATTCCATTTAACAGTGATAACTTCATTGTTTGAGAACTAAGAAAGAAAATAAAATCCAGTGGTATTTATCTCAAAACTTTATGCAGAGTTTATTTCCCTAAAGAAGAAAAAGATAGGTACAGAAATTGAGGTAAACACTGAAATTTGACCCAGCACTACAACTGGAAAAAGCAGAGGGGAGTTGTCTAAAGGTATCAGAGTGGGTATCAGTTTGCTTGGCAACAGCACCACATCTTTCATCTCTTTTTCCAAATGAAGCAAACAACTCAAGAGACTTCAAAAATCAGAAAACACATAATCCCTTAAGCCTATTAAGTCTCTTGAGCTACCCAGGCGTCTGAGCTTGGGAGGATGAGGGACCAAAATCAAGAAGGATAAATTCAAATAATCTAGAACCACAACAGACACAGTTAAGAAAAGAATGGCTAAGATTTGAAAAATGCACAGAAAAGATACTTTCACATGTCTGGAGAGGTATTACCTAATGTGAGAGTGACTGGGAATGTCTTTAAACTGTCAAAGAAACCTATCTTTCAGAATTCTAGCAAAGTCTCTTGAGTTATTGCAGATACTTGACCAAGTTTAAAGCAACATGCTGCACCTGCATTTTTTATGAACCCACACTTCCCACTTGCAAATTGGTTACTCTTGCTGTCAGCTCTGATTCAGGTGACATTAAGCAAACTAGGAGATAAGTTATGATGAAATCCAATATAAAGTGAGGCTTTCTGATTACATACCTCTTTGCCATGTTATGGTGGATGGGTCAATACCAAGGCGCACAAATTTGCTGATCTCCTCTTCTGTTAAAGTCTCAGGATCAGTCTTATTTATTCCCAGCCTCTACACACAAAAAGTTCAAGAAATGCAATGAAATGGCTTATTTGTTTCAAATGGTGTAGCTGCTCTGGCTTATCAACCCCACATATGTAAGTGAGGTGTTTCAATCTTAGTAATCCTGTTTTAAGAAAAATGCAACCTGATCCCACAGTGATTTCTTTACAACTAACATCTTGTTAGATATAAGGAATCATTACACTGAGAATAATTCACAGCAAAATAATTCAATTATATTGGAAATTATGATTCATATATTTGAATGTTATAAAGCCAAATGTTTATTTACTCAGTTGCAGCTCATGTGAAGAGAAAAATCCATTTCAAATTTAGAGATAGTTGGTATTTCATGAATAAAGCAAACACTCCTCCTCTTTCCCTGACCTGTTTTCTGTAACAGCGTAAACAAGAACAAACTTAAAATATCCCAAAATTCCGATGGAACAATCTCTGAGCCTGACTCTGCCCTAGAGTCAAGCAGGTATCAGCCTCATTTTAGTTGACTGACATTCAACTGAGCAGCACAAAAGCTGAAAATGTTATGAGGACTCTTTTACCCCCCACCAAAACAGAAGCTGTCACTACCTCTATCCTTCTTTCCACCCCCAAATTCCAAGTGTGCACGTGGCAGCTGCCCATTGCCATCCCATGACTGAAACACGGTCAGTCAGAGCTCAGAAGCCAACCACAGACATGGGACTGGCCACAGAAGAACTGGAGCTGTCCTTAGGGGTCATATCTGAGAGGTTCATATTCTCTTTCTCCTACACTGGTGGGCTGTGTTCCTCTCTAGGTTTTTATCAGAATGGCACTCTCAAATCCAGACATGTTGAACACACATGAATTGCACAGGAAGCTCTTCTGGAAGCATTCAGGAAGCAAGATGGGATGCAAAAATACACTGAGCATACAAATGTATCCCTTGAAGGAAAAACACTGTCAAACTGACATCAATAAAACCCCAGAAGTATATGCTATATTAGACTTTCAAAATCAGAAAATATTGCAAAACCAAAGAATGTGAGCTTTCAAATGTGCCTATACCATAATTGGAAAAGTATTTAAAAAACTCTGACTTTAATATTTCATCAGAAAAGACACAGCATTTAAAAACATTACTGGTTTATTTCAGGAGAAAAGAATAGCAAAAATGTTAGTTATAAAAATAATATCAGACCCAGATCCTATTACTCCAAGGATGATGCTTTCAGAAAAGAGTCTAGACTTGATATATTTATGAGAGTTTATACAAACTCAGTCCCATACATCAAGTAATTTTAAACAAGTTGTGTAAGAGAATACATTTCATGAAGAGGCACCATAATAGAGGGGAGACAGAATGCACAACTTACTCTCAGGCGGGCAAGCTGAATAGCAGAAAATCCTCTCACGCCATTAACCACTGGAACCAGCCTGTTATACAAAGACTAGAAAAACCACACAAGAAGTTGAAGGGAAAAGTTATAAAAAGCTAATGCTTTTTTAATTTATTCCACCTAATTTCAGTAAGAACTTCCTAACCACATAAGTTGTGGACTTCTGATTAGAGACTTGAAAAACAATTCTGAGAAGGCAGCAGGCTTCTGAGCCATGTCTATGATTTAAGTCTAAAATCCAATTACCAGAAATCATTGGTTTTCTCTGTTTCAGCAAAAAAATTATATATTAATTTTGAAACTGGGAACCTTTTAAAACTTCAACCAAGATTCAAGAAAGTATTTAAACTACAATTAAAATTTCCAAACTGGCCTAAAAGTACATTGACCTAAATGTACATTGTGTACAGATGTACTAAGCAAAGGGTACAACCTTGCTCAGTTTTAATGCTGCAGACAACAAAAAGAGGCTCCTTCTTTGATCTTCTCCCTTCCCTTTAAAGCCCCAAGTTAAGATTTGTTTAAGGTCACAATATATTTAGCAGAGGGACAAGGATCTAGTTTATTTTCCCCATAACTCCTTCTTCTTAAGGTATATCATACTCAACCACACATCAGAAATAACAATTTGTAACTTTAAAATGAGTCTTCAAATTACTGAAAAGAATAGGACTAGAGGTAGGGAAAATATGCTTTATTACAGTATTTAGTACAGTCAGAAATAGTTGTCAAAGTTCTGGGCACGGGATCCTTATCTTAAAGACTACCTTATGATAGCTATTTGCCAGAAAAATACATTGTATATGGAAAATTTCCCAGCAGAAAATAAAATGGCTTCAGCAACACTTACTGTTCACATAGTGAAAATATAAAGTGATAAACAACATGTTTTTCTCTGAAACGCAGTTTATTGAAAAACAAAAAATAAAAAATGTCATCTGGATAGGAGAAAATAATTCTCACCTTATCAGATTGAGTATTCTCATGCAAGATCCTAGCATCAATAGCAGCAGCCAGCAAATTATTTGCAGCAGTTATAGCATGAATATCTCCAGTCAAATGAAGATTGAACTAGAAGGGGGAAACAACAGGATCTTTTTATAAGAAAATATATAATTCAATTCACTAAGACAAATTAGCAGCACAAATCATGGCTATCTCCTTGAGACTGCAGCTCTGATTAGTCAGCTGTCAGGGCAGGCTAAAGAACTACAGGTGAAAGTACACTGGGCCATATGAAGGACTTGTTTTTATCTGAGTACATGGTAAACTACTCTAAGTGTAGCCAAACAAAGCCAAGAACATCTTCATTCTTTGCTAAATGACTCAAGAATAAGAAGCCAAGAGTTACAGTTCCACATCATGAATATGGAATCAGTTTAGCTTTACTAACCACTAACTGGCCTGGAGCAGAGGTGTGCATTACTGCTGAATGTGCCCCAGAGCACAGCCTGCATCCTGGCTTTGGGGCCATAGCCCAGCTTTCTGTTAGCTGCACAACAGCCCCATACCTCACAGGCATGAACTTTGCTGATACAAAATTTAACAAACCATGTTTTGTGAAAACTCTGAAATGAGCGTCCCAAATTAAGACTTGTGTTACACAGGTACTGTATTTTTTGTGTCTGATAGAAGGAGTTGGAAGGTCAGTTTTAATGACACTTCAGGGCTCACATTAGGACTCTGCTTGGACCAGCTGTGCCCCATCAAGGTGGTTTCTCACCAGTTCTAGCCATAGAGAGGTTTCACTGAGCTCTAAATTAGACTCTCTTGGGGTGAAACAGCCACACATTTCCAAACCAGCACTGTGAATGTCATAGAATCATTAGGGTGGGAAAAAACCTCCAAGATCATCAAGTCAATCTTCAGCCATGAACACCACCATGCCCATTAAGCCATCTCACAGACTGCAAGCTGAGGCTGTCTCACCTCCTCCATGGGGATCACTTGAGCATATCCACCTCCAGCTGCTCCACCTGCACAGGGAAGCACACAGTCACATCAATTTTGGAAAAAACCAACCATCTTTAAACACACTAAGTGAAACACACAGCAATGATGACACATTTTTGGCTTTTTGATTTCTATTAGAAGATCAGTGATGTACCCAAATAAACATGATTTCCTTAATCTTGCTGGCTTTTTTTTTTTCCCCAGCAGATAGCAAAAAGGGAATTCTTGCTCTGAAATTAAAATCTACACATGATGATTGGTGCAGGCTCTGGCTACGTAAATCTCCTCCTGCCCAGATTTAGGACACAGTCATGCACATGCAGCTGCTGGGTGGAAAGACAAAGCAGTCACAAGCAAGCACTGCTTCTGAATGAAACCTTCACACCCTCGCCTGAGCACTCCTTCCTCTGGACATGGTACAGGCAAAGAAATTTGCTGTTGCCTACACACAAGTTGAGTGGAGGGATTAAAGCACTCACATGCACCAGTCTTAGCTGAGAAGCACCAAGCACCAGGAGCCTTCCAGCTGAAACCAAACTTGTTAACTTAAACTTCAGCAAAGCAAAGCAGAGCAGCTGGGGGTGCTTGCCCAGTTAGGCACCGATTTCAGCTGAGAAATGGCAAAAAAGAGATTGCATTACTTCCTATCATCAGCATTGAAGATGGGCTTGAAATCTGGCTGGGTCTTACCTGGCCCTCAGGCTCTTACAGGGTTTCTAGGCAAAAAGGCAGCAGCCCACGATTAGAGGCGACAGCTCAGGAGAACAGAGAGAAGAGGTTCAGACCTAGCCAAATGTGTGCTGCTGACACAACTGAACCACAACTGCTAAATTCCTTGTATTGCTTGTGAATATCCAATGTGGACTCTTTCTCAAGGAGTAATTAGACAGTAATATTTAGAAATGTATTTTAAAGAGTCTCCAAGTAGAGGGGTGGCTGGAAAGGTGTGTACTCACATAAAATTCCTCATGGCTAATTACATCCCTCTGCCTTTCCTTATGTTTAGGGTTTATCTGCATTATCAGTACATGTTAAGTGCAGGAACAGGGGTATGAACCTTGCACAGGAAGTCATGTGCAAGAAACCTTAACCTATTAGTTACATATGTATTAAAAAATCTAATATGCTACTACTGGGACAATTCATTGAGTGAAGCAATTAAGAAAGTAAAAAAGAAGAAATAAATTTAAAAATGCAGAAAAGCAGCATTTCCTTTTAATCTGAAAGAGGTCATAGGTTCTGCAAATATTATGTACCTTTCACTCCAAAAGTAGGTCCTTGAGAAGGTTGTCTCAGACAAGCAAAGGAATTAATGTTAAGGTGTGCAGTAAGCGCCTGAACGAGACCAACTGTGACTGTGCTTTTCCCCTCTCCTAGGGGGGTAGGGGTTATTCTAGCAAAACAAGAAAAAAGATTAATCAAATTCTTTGCTGATGTCAGCCTGGCTAAGGATATCAGAACTTAGAGCTTTTGATTTCAATGAAGAATATTTGTACAGCAAATTTCAATAAGATTACTTTATCTTCACAAAAATACTGCCACAATGTTAGTCCCTAGCTCAAGCTGGAATGCTAATATACATGTGTCTTCTATTTAAGCAATTTACTATGATAGCAGAAAAAGAGAAGATTATTTTGGCAAAAGTTCTAAAAAGAATATATTGAATTTAGACATTTTTATTACAGCACAAAAGTCTCACCAGTTTCATTAACAAACCATCCATCATGATACTCTAAGCATGTATTAATATTTTTCTGCAGTAATGCATGAGATCTTTTATTCCCACTGTTCAAACTTTGAATGAAATAATAGAATATTTTAAGTTAAATAACCAACGCTTTTCTTTGTAGAACTCAGCTATGCCTCTCCAGCTTCCATGTCACCATAACCCTCAACAATGACAGAGCAACTGCTTTTTAAATATAACAGGACACAAAATCCACAATATTCAATTGAACATGACTCATTGTACACTTCTTTGTACACTCATTGTACACATTGTACACAGAGATTTAAGGGCAATAGGGGACAATGACTATCGTAGTCCATACAAAAGCTCAAAAGCCTCATGCTACAGCTCCCATATTTAGACCATGACTGAAACAGGACAGAATTTTAAAAATACCTGCAAACTCAAATCAGAGACTCTAACCTCCACTCTATTCTTGTCCCTAGAGAAGGCCCTATTCTTGCCCCTTTAATAAAGGGACAACAACAGCTTATTTTGCAAGTAGAAAACTTCATCAGCCTTCAGTGAACAAGAGACACCTCAGTTTAAATGATCCTCTCTCTACTTTCAACATCAGCACATTTGTGTATGATCCATCTTAAAAGTGTACGTGGTGCTAGGGTTTTTCTTCTCTTTCTGTTTTTCTTTCTTCATGTATGAACACATCTCATGGCTCCAAAATGCACTTCAATTATTCTTTTGAGGCAGCATTTCTTTTTCTGATTGGCAAAAGAAGAAAGCCCCAGTCCTTTTTCCATTCACATCACTCTCATACAAATCTTCCTTTTTGGCAAAGAGTAACCATTCATATCTTTGGTGCCTTTTCTACCTGCAGAGAAGTACTTTAGTGAAGCTGATGTAAAAACTAATGTTCATTCCCAAAGAACTACAAGCATGCACATGGATCTAGTCAAAGGGGAACCCTTATCTTGTGACCTTTTCAAAACTTGAGCTGAAACATCTAGCTCTAATTAGAAACACTTCCTTCCCCAACTAGTAATTTCTCCAAGATATTCCTATCTTCAGATCACAATTCAAATGGCACAAAAACATTAGAGTAATTGTAAGAATCAGCTTAATTCAGTCAGTTCACAGACTGGGAAAAGCACTTCTTCGTCCCAAAAAAGACAATAGATGAAAAATGTTAACTTTTCATAAATCTATCTTTTACAGCATCATCAGATCCTTGGCTTTTACTTTAAAAAAGATGCCCTGGATAGATATGTCTGGAAAAATGTGAGCAGTTTGGAAGCAAGTCAAATCAACATCTTTATATTGTTCTAGGAAAAAAAAAATAATTCAGAAAAGTAGTCTTTTAACTAACATTTCAGTGAAATCAATGGGGTTAAGCACATCTGTAAGAGATTCCCTGAATTCTTCACTTTGAACTACTCTTGTGTGACCATGGGCCACTTATTTGGGCACTTGGTTTTAGCAGTTTTCTCCCACATTTTATAACACTGTATTCACCAACCATCAGATTCTAAAACATCATCAGTAACTTACTATTCATTATCCTAGACTATTTAATTATCCTAGAATGGCACTTCTTTGACTTAAAAAAGAATTCACAGAACTCTAGCAAAGTATCTATGTAGAGCCAAAAAAAAGGTGAGAGAATTAGAGCATATCCTTTATCTCAAAAGCAGTTTTGGTCCCTGTCATTTTTTTATCCATACTAGGCCTTCTTATTTCCTTCTGATCTACTGCAGAAGCACAGAATGCTACCTAATTTCTTTTACTTTTAAGTTTGCAGCTCCTAGAAGAAAGGATACTTTTAATCTCTGCATTGTCAGGACAAGGAGCCCTCAGGGTTTTACAATTGCCACACAGATAGCTTCCTTTTTTCCCACCAATCTCTTTCTCACCTCCTTTTTGTCCCAGGATCCTTACTTTTGTACAAATGTGTTTCTTTCAGAGGATCACAACCAGGTTAACTCACTTTTACTACTGGTTTCACCTTCTGACTACTGTTCTAACACTGGTTTCCCCAAACCCATTCAAGTAATTCTTAGCATGGTTTCTCCTTACCCCTTGTTCTCCTCTACTATCTCATTCACTTTTGTCTATTGTCCTAATCTCTTTTACTTGATCTTCTTATTCCTGTGCATTAAAATCAGATTTAAAGCACATATGAGTAATCCTGAGGCATTACTGTGTTAAAAGCCTTAAGGTAACAACTCATGAAGCAATCAATTATTTAAAAATAATAACAACAAAACAAAAAGAAAAACAATAAAGAAATACCCAAAAGAAAAGTATTCTACTATGAAAGAGACACTTATAATTGCTTAGTGGAAGTTAGCAGTAAAGAACTTTCCAAAAACTCAGTGCACATAGTCACTGCACTACCAACAGAAAAAATTGCATTTGAAGGGCATCCTGTTGGTGGCTACCTCTAATTTTGAGCATCAGGCATATGAAGTTCACACTCAAGAGAATTCAGAGACACCATCCCTAGTTATTTACTTGGCTTCAGCTCAAGATGTGGCAGGTGGCTGACCTGGCATGCACAGCAACACAGGGACTCTTCACTCTTATGAAACAAGTAAAATCAAAGATGCAGCCTTCATCCAGCAAAGGAAATGAAATTGCAATTGACAAATGCACAACCAGAATGCATGTTGGTAGCATAAAAAAGAATATCTCCTTGTCACAGAAGAAAACAACACACAGTCAAGTGTCACGTTACTGAAATGCTCTGGTAACTTGACTGGCCTATTCTAACATGACACTGTAATATGAACCAGAAAGCACTGAGAGTTTTCTATGAGACAGATCTTTTTCCAGAAAGCAAAAGAAACATACCACTGCTCTTTGATTAAACTGGGAGGAAACCTCAAGAGCTAAACAGTTATTTATCAGTTTCAACAATTACCAAAATCTCAGCTTTAAACATTAGTTAAAAGAAAAAGAAAAAAAACCACCTGGAATTTAAAGAAAATCCTATTCCAATAATTTTCCTTTGTAAGCTTATTTTAAATATCTTCCCTTTTGTACCTGCTCTACTTTGATTGGGGTTTATAAATAAAATAATCCACCTAATCTGTTTTGTGGACATTGAGCTGTTATTGCTGGCTACACTACTGAGCCTACACTCTTGCAGCTTAGGTCACTTGCTCACATGGGTATAAAATTACAACTGCCAATGGCTAACTTTAGCTCAATTGTGCAATTCTGTGCTTTAAACTTATGCAAATTAAAGAAAAATCTCCTTTAAAATGCAATAAATTTTAATGAACTTCAAGAGACTTTAACAGCCATTTGCATTATTCTTCAAATTTCTTTAGTATGTTTTCAATCAAAACACAGAAATCCCAAAATAATTTTCCACCTTAAACTTTGCCACCTACCAAGCAGTCATCAGCTCCTTGGCAAAGTAAGTTTTCCATAACATTGGAAAGCCTTCTCTCTTTATGTATATCAAAACAAAGATAAGAATATGCAGACTTTTTGTTTGTTTGTTATACATCACATTAGCTTACAGCAGAGCTGTTTCTGTGGGAAAGCTACACAAGGTCTCCCAAAGAGAAAATAAACAAACAGGGAGACATACACTGCACCAGCTGTGACCTCCTCACAGCTACACCAGTCACTGTGACTCCAGCAAGAACTTTACTGCATATGTGACAATTCTCTTTCAGACTTCCTACATTCAACTCATAGGTATCAGCAGATTCAAAGATTTTAATGAGTTCATAATTCATGTGATCCACATTGAAACCTGCAAAGCCAGGCTATGGAGGGCATGGGCAACTGAGCTCCCACCTACAGACATCTCCCATCCTAGATTACAATTGTCAGAGATGTATTTCTGAGCACAGAAGTGCTGCAACTGCTGTCACCTCATCGAGATGAGGTTATGACAATATTGCAGAGGCATCCTTGGGTTGGGACTGGAGCTTCCAAATACAAAAGCACAGAGGTCACTATGAAGTTAAAATGACTGAACAAAGACAGGAACAGACTGAGGAATCCTCCACTACAAACTCTCATAATCCACTACAGACTCATACACGACAATCCCAATCAGGAGCTGTGTAATGACATGACCAATACATGACAACTGTCTCAACTATGACTTTACCTTGGACTGTCAGACAATTCAGGGCATCAACACAGGGGTATTTTTCCCTCTTATCCTTCCCTGCATCTTTCCTCAAATTTTTATTGTCCTTTTCTCTTAGCTTTTAAGCACCTTGCAGCCCAAGGGACATAGTAAAAAGAAATACATTTTTTTTCCCTCCATTTTTACCTTACTGAAAAGGTAGTTCATCACGGAACAATCTATTACTGTTAGGAGAAAAGTACTGATTTTAAATTTTCCAGCATTCAAAATCCAACACACATCTTGTTAAAAGCAGAATTGTATTTCATAATTTTCCCACTTTTTATTCTTCCTCATCTTGCATTTTTGAAGTGAACAAATTTCCAGAATTTTCCGCTAAAAGCCACAACACTGGAGCATTTAGAAATAAGACACTGAAACATAAACACACACACACATAGACATAGATTCTAACAAACTGCAGCTGTAATTTCATATTGTGTCTGTAAATATGCCATGTACATGTTTGAATACATGATTAGGTTACCCTGAACACTAAACTTAGCTCCTAGGTCAAGCACAAGCTGCATTCATTTGCATGCTCTCAGCTGGCAATGAGTGGAGGCAGTTTGAGTTAACAGATCCTGTGACATACTATTTAGCACACTAAAATCCTGTTTACAGGCAGTTGATGCCCAAGAACCAATTACTCCATGATAACTTGTGGCTCTGCCCCCACAGTGTCTTAACATGAGCCCTAGAGCAAGCCAAACACAGACAAAGAAAATAAAAAAGCAAGAATGAAAAAAAAATAAAAGAATGGTCTCCATATAGAGGTAAATGGAATTTATGAAGAAATAAAGTCTTAACCTTATTTTCAGGTGTCATGATCTGTTCATCAAACTGCATACAAAGTTTATAATACTTCAATATACAAAGTTTATAATGGATGAGACACTTAGCCATATTTGCTTGCATTTAGAAGGAACAAAAAAGACTTTGCAGTTAGCAACTTTTTAAAGAGCCATAAACTGTATGTAGAGATTAAAAGGTACATTTCAGTTGCATTTCCCTGCTCAAAACAAGAAGTTTGGTCTTTAGCATATCAGGAATAAACTAGACATGCATTTGCAGCAAATATTTATAAATTCCTAGACATTGTGAAATATTTAAATCTGAATGTGCAATTAAAGGCACAAATGTTACTGGCATCATGGATGGAAGTTGGAGGTTTTGCAGTTTCTTGAATAGACACACACACTTTACACTCTTTTCACACACAAGAAGTTCCCATCATACATTACAAATATTTCCACCAGAACTGTAAGTATAAGCATCTTAAATATTTCCTCTGAAGCACTGAAAATTTATTCTGAAGGCGTACACTGCATCATTCTAAAAGAATTTTTAAATATCTTTGGTTATTGTGAACAAACATAATCCAAGTAGCAGGTTTTGGTTGACCTTGCCTTGGCAAAGGAGAGAATGAAGGCAAAGGAGGATACTATTTCACTCCCCAGTTTCCACACTTCAGTGATATTTGATTTTCATTGCATTGAACACTTCCCCATCAGACAGAGTTCCCTGCTTTTCTTAAAAACATTGTCATCTGCTACAGCCATTTCAGCAAGGGAGAGCAGCTGAGAGCATATAAACACACACTATATGTATATTTTATATGTACTATATTTCAAAGTCAAGCTTTGAACTCTCCCAGAAGAGAATGTTCCCACTATTGTAGTTACCCTGCCCAGGCACTCCTCCTGCAGCAGATGTGGCTTTGCACTAACTCCACAAGATGCAATGACTTCAGAGATGTTGCAAATAGCAACATATTGCATCACCAGCTTGGCTAGGTACCAAACCCAGCCCTTTGTTTCTGAAACACCATTCTGTATCGGTACATTTTAATGTAAACTTAGAAGAAGATACAATTTTCTACTTTTTGCCAGTTTTTTATATTGATGGTCAAAGCTTCTGCATTTCTTCCACATGCAGAAACCAGCACTTCTTTCTGTGACAGCTGCTTGAGATACCTTCTTTGAAGGAGAATGGGAGACAAAGCAGTGCGAAGAAATGCACTGGTGCATGCAATCTGACACAGCTAAACTCCACCCAAATGGGGCTCTGCAACTTGTGCTATCTTTGCACCTCCAGACATCTTCAAATAACCTCTTCTGAGAGGTTTGTTGCTAGGCAAGCCTGGATTGGTCTGCAGCATGATGACCAGCTAATGCTGTTGACATCATGAGCAAGAAAATACATGGCAGCAACTTTCTTCAAACTCAGTCAAATGCTGAACCTGTTTTTGTTTCTCTAATGCCACAAACATCCAAACCAAAATAAAACTATACCAAAGGAAACCAAACTCAACAAGCTATTATTTCCTTCTCTTAACTGCTTCAGCATCCTCCAAGAATATCTTTAATGCTGGACTTCCATCACATAGCTTTGAGGAAAGCATCATATCTTGCCTGCCTCAGCTTTGTGACATCAAGTCAGACTACAACAGCTCCATCTCAGTGCCAGAAATCCAGGTTGTTCCCACAGGAAGACAGTAAAGCAAACAGTTTGAGAAACATCAGCCAAGGTGAGGAATCAGTAGGTCAAGGCGGTTAACAACAGCCTTCTCCTTCTGGATCAGCCAAAACTGCATTTTAAACCTGACTCGGTTTAGCTAAAAGGAAGCAACCAAAGATTAACTCAGAATATAAAGACACACTGCAATTTAAATATTAATGAAAACCTTCACATGTCTGTTCACAAGTAGAAGTTTCCACTTAGTAAACCAGGTGAATGAAAAATTGTGTCACTGAATGCAAGAAAAACCTGAAGCTCTTCAGAAGAGAAGTGCATAATTCCTGCTGAGCATTGCATTTGCAATAATCGTGGGAAAAGCAAACAGGATAAGCCTGCCTGGAGACATGTCTACATTTCAGAGAAATAACATGGCTTTTTAAACTTTGCAATCTGTTCTTCAATAAGAGAAGTATTTATTGTTAATATGAACAGATTAGCATCTAGCTTCTGTTAATGTTTGTTTATAAACAGCCACAATGCAAGCAGCCTTAAATATCCAAGTTAAACATTTAAAATTCTGATAAAACAGTAAGAAAAACTCCACTCACCAACATTTCACAGAATCATAGAACAAATTACCTTTTATAAAATATACTTTAATTCAGTAATAAGAGTTTGGAAGAAAAGCTGTGTTACTTCAAAGGAGTTAAAAACCTGCTCACTGTCAGAAAAGAGCAACATACAGATGAAAACATTCAAGATTCTTATTTGTACAGAGTATAAAAAAGATGTAAGTTGCATGTTTATATTAATAAGAGTGGAAACAGCAGACATTAATGACATTGCATAGCATTCTTACCCAGCAACTAGAACATATTTTCCATCTGGTTGATCCTTTAACCTTTCCAGCAGGGACAAACGTACTTTGGCTTTGGTTTGACCATAGATCTCAATTTCATCTGTAAGCAATCCTATCTCCTTGGCAAGTACATCAACAGCTTTTGGACTCTGTGCTCGGGAAATCTCAATATCACTGGAAAAGAAAACAAATAGGAGCCAGGAGATTTCTCTCAGCTTAGGTGGTCGACAACAGAGCACAAAACAACAGCAAATAATCCAACAATGGAGTTATTGTAATGAGTTTTTTAATTCCCTCTTACATTTTATTAACCAAACCTAAATATTAACTAACACCTAATATAACATTGAAAATCACATACAGAGTTTGTTAATTGTTACAATTTCACAGAGAGCTCTCCTTTAATCAGATTCCAAATATTACGTAATGCTTTCATATCAAGCTAGGAACGTGTCTGCTGGATGCTCAAGCATGTCCCACTGGAATGGATGTTTCTGGATTTGTTTTTCCCTTTTGTTCTCCTCCCTCACAGCATATTTCAGCACATACAATTTACTAAAAAGTGCATGCATTCCTTGGCCAACAAACGCATTTGCTAAACCCGAAGCTTGTGCATGCAGTGCCTTTCATCCGAGGTCAATGCCAACATCGTTGCTCCCCATGAGGGCACCAAAGGAAACAAGACATTTGAAGACCAACTCATGCACTTCTAAAACACAGCTAAACTAAGAATGGCCACAGAGCAGGAGTCTACAGCACAAGGTTCAATCGAGACATCCACTGAGCTTACAAACTACCCCCAGCAAGGGTGAGCAGCAGCTGAGGCAAGCCACAGATTCCTGGAGGGAATGTGGCTGTAGGGGACACTATTGTACCTGCAATTCCTGACCTGGACAACCTGAGGTCTTTGGATTTAATATTCCATCATGGATTTTGCATTTGTGAGCTTGACCTAGTTGCCCATTATGTCCACATAATTGTGTGGAAGCTGTAAGCTCCTGCAGCATGGAAGCCCAGGGGCTGGGACACAGGATGTGAAGAGTTGTCTCCTTGGGCTTCGAATTGCTCACATTACCACAAAAACAACTTAAAAAATTACTTTCAGCCTAACCAGGCTAAATTTCTTCTTGTAGTTTCAGTTGATCACAGTATTTTTAAGACAGAATCTGGCAGTGGATGAAAGCTCATGTCCTGAACTTTCAAACATTCTGCAAGACCTTAAATATCGACCAATGAACATAAAACTACAACCAGATCTCAACTCTGTGTGTGGACTTCAGCCATTCTGCATCCACCGGGCAAATGATCAGTCTGTGCCAACTTAATGGCTTGGAATTCTTTGAGAAAATCCTAAACTGGCTCCATCATTCATTTATAGCTCTCAGGTATCCCCCTTTTGCACCCTGCAGCAGGTAAGTGAAACCCAGAAACCACTCACCCAAGCAATGACATAATCCAGTACTACAAGACAAGGAGTTAATCACAGTACTAAGCTGGAACTTGCTTTCTTTCAAAGACATACTAAGTGCATCCTCTTTCACAGAAGGATATACCTTTGGCTTCTTATGTGTGACTTCAAACACTGCTAGCCATAAAAATTAAATGAGAGCACAAGACAGAGTGGCTTACAAATATCACATTGCAAAGACCATCTGAAGGTTTCACTTTTAGAACTTCCAATATATAAACAACTTAAGTCCCAGAAAACTCTTGCTAAGTTGGTGGTTGTGTAGTCCTTTAAAGATCTAAGAAATTGAAATTTTCAGGGTGACCATTCTCCTTAAAATAATTGATACATTTAGCAAGAGGAGAAAGATACAGACTAATACAACAACATTACTTTACATTTTTTTCCTCCTCCTAAATATATTTTCCCAAGACACAGAAAATTAAAGACTTGGTTATGGACTTTAGAAGTCTATATTTGTTGCTGACTCTTTTAGTCTGACAAAATATTCTCTGTATTGGAAATACCAGAATTATTCAATATGTTATGCTATTCAGTATTGCTGGAGATGTGCAAAAGTGGTTCTTCTGCATTAATGAAAACTGTTAAGCAAGAAGTCCACCACTGACAATACTAAGTGATAATTTACAAAATACAGAAAAATTTAAAAGATGGAGGAAGGCTCTACATCTACTCACCTGACATTTCTTTTTTACTGCATACTGTAAGAAAATTTTCCATTCCATTTCCAATATATTTGGAAATACTTCAACCCAGATCTCACAGAAATCAAAAAGCAGATGTTCTTAGTTTTAGTGCTTAAGCAGCTTTGCCTCACTTTCAATGAATACTCCATCTGTTTCCACACAACGTGGTGTATTACTGAAAGCTTACATTTTATTACAGGATACTTTCCATCTGAAGGGATTTTTTACATTTAAAAGAAAAAAGACAAAGCTATAGAGTTAGCAGATAAATGCAAGTCCTATTACTAATTATATAATATTTATTATATTATATATATTATATTATGGTGTGTGTGTGTATATATATATATACACACACCATTATTTATTAATGATGTAATTATTGATGTACTAAACACACAATGTCATAGAGAGAGGGTTGGGAATACCTTTTTGTGAGGTTTTTTTTTACCATCACCCTCATGACATCACATACTTAAACTTTTAATTGTATTATTTAAGGATAGTTTTTTAGGCTTCAATTCTAAAAACTGAATTCTAGAATTCCAGAAAAAGCTCAAGCATTTCTGCCTCCTTGTGTCCCTGGTCACAAGAGAAAACTCATTCTTTTGGCATCTCTGGTTTAAATTACATTTGTGTTCATTCCCATTGAACTGTTGTAAGAGACAGTGAAAAATAAATCAAAATACAACATTTTGTCACAGCTTTCCAAAACGACACCAGCAGGATTCAGAATTACAGAATCACAGACTGGCTGGGGTTGGAAGGGACCTCTGGAAGTCATCTGGTCCAACCCCCCTGCTCATGCAGGGTCATCTACAGCTGGTTAGTTGCCTATGTCCAGGTGGCTTCTGAATGTCTCCTAGGATGGACACTCCACAAATACCCTGCACATCTGTGTCAATATTTGGTCACCCTCACAGTGAAGAAGTATTTTCTGACGTTCAAATGGAGCTTCCTGGGTTTCAGTTTGTGCTCACTGCTGATGGCTCTGTCCCTGGGCTCCACTGGAAAGAGCCTGCCTCATTCCTGTTTGTATTACTGCACATTGTATTTAGACACATTGGTAAGATCCTCCTATCCTCCAGACTATGGAGTTCCAACTCTCTCAGACTTTCTTCTGGTGTGAGGTTCCTTCAGCATCTGCAGAAGCGGGCATATCAATAAGCACAAAAAAATGTTGACACTTTCCTCACTTTCAAGCCATTGGTTCCTCTCTCTGTCACCCAACACAACCAACACACAGCAAAGCACTTTGGTGCAGTGAAGAGCTCAGACTGCTTTAAATATCAGAGATGTCACCAATCATGCCAAGGCAGACCTGAAATCCCTGAGACCCAGACATGGGCCTTGGGAAGTGAATGACAAGAGCTGATTGAAAAGATCCTGGGTATGAGAATAAATATGCCTCCTGCTTTGCACACCCACACAGGAATTTAAAAGTCTTATGCAGAAGAAAGTACTTCTGCTGAGGGAAGAAAATAAATACAAACTCAAATGCCACTGAAATCACTGAGCCTTAACTAAACACCTTCCTACATCAGGGTTCAGCCATTAGGAACCTCTTGTCTTTTGTATTTCTGTTGGTGTTGCACAAGACTTCTCATCCCTACATCAATGAAACCTTCCAGCTTTAGGTCTTCATTAAATAAAGCTTGGCTCCAATGTAAAAATCAAAGTAAAAATTAAGATCAAACAGAAGCACATGGTCACGATGAAGCAGACAAGAGAATGGCACAACATATAGTCCACATAAGATTAAAAATTAATTAGGCACAGCACATTTTTAGGTTGTCACACTTGCTTGCTCTTTTTAAAAACATTTTTCACTTTTTTTTTTCTTTAAAAGCACTTATTACCTTGGCACTGGGGAGAGGGGCTGCAGTTTCAAGCTGTGGAGGTCCCACTTCCTGTACTGCTGGGACTGGATCCATCGCTCCATGTTTTTTACCATGTTCTGGTTTTAAACAAGAAAACAGCACACAACAGCTGCATCATAAATGCTGAACAGCAATTTCAAACAATCTCTAGAGTATGTTGAAATAACTTCCACGGCAAAGGCTAACAAAAAGCCCCAAACTTAAAAATTTTTCCATTTCATGGTTTTAGAACAAAGTAAGAACCACTTTTCTATGGTATGACCACATTTCAAAAAGAAACAACCCCACTAACACATAAGTGGCAGAGAAGATTCTCTAATTAGGCAGTTGGACATTTTATTCTGGTCAAGACAGAGAATTATTATTCTTCTCTCACACCTTAAAAATAATGGAAGATACTGACTGACTCATGCTGCTTCCAAAATTAAACAACATACTTTTGGACCCTCTATCCATTGTAATGCAAAAATGCAGATACAATTAATCTTCTCAGTCTTACCAGAGTGAGTGACATTAGCCTATTGACACAAGTGCTTCTGGCAACCTTTATGTATTAACCACAATTATGAGATGTCTGATTTTTAATTTACCTTTCTCTAATTAAATGCAATAGGTATCACTCTATCTGATTAAGAGCTGCTATTAAAATGGAAGTCATGTAAGATGGTGAAATGAGTAAAACAAATACAAACTGTAGAAGCAATTTCTGCAACTTACAGAAAGAGCAACAAAGCTGCAACATTGGTACAATCTACAAACAAAGGTACACTAACCTGCATTCTCATTGCTACTGCAAGAGAACCAACAGTCTTTTCAGCAGCAGGGTTGTTCTGCTGACCATAGCTGTGTTTCTCTGAAAAATATAAGTATTGCAGTTATAAATCACAAATCTTCTGTGAGTGGGAGCATGTGTATTTGAAAGTTACATCCAAATAAAAATTTTCAGAAGGTTGACTTGAAATTTAACAATATTACTGACAAAATTATAAGTGGCTTCTCTAATACTTCAAATGAAACCACCCAGAAGAATGAATAGACTATGAAAATCAGAGAGTAACTGTATGCTCTGAAACATATTACACAAACCCATACAAATAAAATTCACACAGCTGTATTTGAAAAGCTACATATGTTCTTAAACAGAACACCTAAATGAGCATGGTAAAGACTGTCTTCTCTTCGACACACACATTACAGTGAGCGAGAGCAATGAAATGATCACAAATACCATACAGGATCATTATAACTTGGAAACAGTAGATGAAAATTTTTCCTGAATAGCAACAGTTATCTTCATCAGCATGATATTAAAAGAAGGTATTCTGGAGAGTCTACACAAATCAGAGTGACTTCAACTTCAGAGACAGTTATAATTGTTTCTAGTGGCAATATATCAAATGATAATCATACATTAGCTACCCCAACTAAACATTTTGCTGTTTTGTCATTTTGCTGTAATCCTTCTTCTGGCTTATTCTTCTGTTGTTGCTCATTGACTTTTGTCTAGACACAATTTCTCCAAAATTCACATCCTAGTCTCTGTGGGCATATCAAGGCTGTAGCCACATTCTGAAGGGCGTAGATATAATTGTAATAAAAAATAACAACTGTACGCTGACAGCTTTAACCTTTCTGCCACAGGGGAACTGAAGTGCAAGCCCTGACCTGGTCAAGCTCTTGCTCTGTTCACCCCTTCTGTACTGGTCATAAAAGGCTCACGTTTCCTTGCACAATCACCCCTCCCAACAAGGTTCCCAGAGCAGCAGGGCACAGAACCCTCAGACTGGAGATAGGGTGGCAGCTACAGCCCACTCTCCCACATCCACTGCTGAGAGAGCAGGAGACCCTCTCTGCAGAGCCCTCAGCCTCACTCCATGTGTTTCCTGACCCCTTCTCAAACTTTCCTGCCAGCAGGCATCCACACATCAGTGACAGAGCTCATCAAGCTGAAGGCAACAGTCCTCATATTAAACTCTAATTAAGAAAGTGTCTGAAAAGTCCTTCTTCTTGCATTAACACTTGCAATTAAAACAAACAAACAAACAAACAAACAAAACCCCAACAATTTCTTCTGGAGATGCTCAGCTTTAGATTTAGACAGAGGAGTTTTACTGGAATAGTCTATTACAGTCATAAGCTGACTCTTGTTGCTTTGAGACCAGGATGGGAGAGCTGCCAAACAGACAAATGAAGTAGGAAGAATGAAGTTTAAAATCCCCTTTCAGACAGCTGTGCTTTACAGAAACATTTTGACTTTTTATGTTATTTGGCTTAATACGACTATTTTTATCAGGGCAGAGCTAGCATGTGTGTAAATACATATTAGAATTAGACAATTCCCTTCAATAAACTATTTCTCTCAGACTGCCTATGCTACAGTCACCCCCACAAATGACTAACCAGGCTTTTACAGGGGTGAAGGTGAAGCTAGAGGTGAAAGTCATGCACGCATGGAGTTAGTAAGACAATCACAGGATTGCAACAGCTCTCCTACGATAAATTTTCCAGATGGAAGCTGCAATAGCACTCTCTGCTTCAGACTATGGTCAGATCAGCTGAAATTCAGATATTGTGCTCCCTCCTCTGACTCATACCCTATTGTACAGATGAGTGAGAGCTCCTGTCAGGTGCTACCTGTCTGCTCAGGCAGCTTAGAATAGAGAAGAGGTGGGGAAATGATTGAATTTACCACTAACATACTTAAACCATGTGGGCTTCAGCTTTCAAGTGACCCCAAAGGAGTTGGACATCAAATCTCAAATAATTCTGGCATCCTTAAGTTTTGTTCAGAAAGTTATTTTCATTTCCATAAATTTACATATAAAGTATATTCCTGCAAGACTCTACCAGCACTCACCTGATTTCAAGATTGTCAGTGCAACAGAAGCAGATGTTACTAGAAAATTGCAGAATGTTTTAAAATTGTGATAATTTAAAAATATTTGATTAAAAAAAGCCCTTGAAAAATAACTGTCACTTTGGAGTGAGCACTTTTATCTCGACTCTCCTGATTTACAACATTACATTTCCCCAGTTCAGCTACATCCTTGCAAATTCTGAGTGCTTTTAAAACATGCAAGTGTGTTAGACAACACGTACACCCACACAAGTTGGAAATCTAGCCACCATCTAGCAAGAACAAATGTTACTTCATGGCCATTATTGCTTTCAGGCTTCATTTAGCTCCTGAGACCCCACAGATGTTAAATCGGACATTTCTAAAGCAAGAAAAAATCCAGAACAATTTCCAAGCACCTCAGCCAGATTCCATGGAAGTCAAGAGACAGTTATAAGACTCAGTTGTTTCTCCAAGGTCACAACTACTCCACAATGGGCTTTCCACAAACATCTTGCATCTAAACTAAGTGCATTCTTCCTGTCAGACACCTGTGTTTCATGTTCCTCTCTAGGAAGCCTTGAGACCAACATTTTTATAGCTGGTGAAATGCATTTCTGCTGTAATTTTGGAGTTTCTCCAAAGTTCTGACAACCTCAAAAGCATTACCAAAAGATAGACATTTGGTAGATGAGTTCTAGCTAAATTATCTTGATAAAAATCTCATGCTGCCTTTCCAAAAAAATGCAGTACTCAACAGAGCACGTTGCTACAATTTGAAAAATGCAAAAAAATGTATATGCTTATGCAAATCTTACATTTCCTGCATTAGAAATGAATGTTACTGTGGTGTGTAATGCAATTTTTCTAACACTCTTTCAGAGAAGGGAAACACTAGTATTATCTACAGTTCTTTAGAGCAACTAAGGCATGAAGACATTTAAGTCTTAAGATGTAGCATGCAGTTATACTGCATAACTTTCAGGCCTGTGAAGGCTCAGACTCGCTTCTCAATGCAGAGAATTAGGTGTCTGAAAGTGGGACTTGCACCAGGCAGCACAGAGTGCTGGGAGAGTCCAGTCACTCCTGGAGTCCACTCCAGCTGCACAGACTGGCTTATCTCACCCTGTCAGAACTGCCCCAAGTCTGTCACATAAGAGGTTTCTACCTTCAAGATTAAAATGAGGAGGGGAGATTCCTTTTTATTTATTTATTTATAGGTATGACTGCTGTACCACCACTCCCTCTCTTCTCTATTCCTTTCCCTTTCTCCCCCATTCCCCCTTCATGTAAGGCTGTGTCATACTAGTAGGCTGCTCAAGAGACCTGTGTGCCAAGCCCTGCCCCACAGATACTTAACAATTATATCCAAAAATCCCTAGGGGAAACAAATGGGCATTAGAGATGCAAGGAGCCTCTTTGTCACTAGTCCAGGAAAAATATAACATGTATTCTTTTTGGACAACTTGTGCAGCATCAGGAAGGGAAAAGGCTTGGTACCCACCCTTGAGATCCTCAGCAGGATCAGAGATCTGCTTTGGGAGGCAGACAGTGAATGTCCAAATGCCTTCAGACAATCAAGTGAATAATAACCCAGATCTCCACACCTGCAGTGTCCGTTCAAGTCAAGAGTATATCATGAAAGACAAGGAAAGAAATCTATTGCTAAGGCCATGCTTTGCATGGGAACAGCAGCTGCTCTTTTATGAGCCTGATCTTGCATTAGCTCTGCATGGAGTATCTGCTTCATTTGCCCTTAGGGAATATCCCTGGTTTAAAATCCATGCAATTAGGTTTTCTCAGCTTTATGCCCATTTCCACAGTTTTGGTCAATAGATGTCAATCTACTGCACTTGTGATAAGATTTTAAAAAACCCCAGATTAATCAGTCATGCTACCCATGTACTTCCTCATTTTCCTATTCATTTGCAGCATAATCTCATTGGGATGCTGAGCAGTCAAATTCATATACACACCAAAACTCTAGAAAATATCTAGAGATCTTCACAGAATTTTAGAAATTTTACAGGAGATGTAAAATTACATGTTTATTATTATTTCTACACATTATTCTAGCAGCAGAGTAACTTCTGGGAAGATTTCTTAATTTTATTCCCAAGAAAATTCTGTAACATTTTTTCAACTGAGAAATTATTGAACCCATACACCCTCCACAACAAGTTAGGGGAAAAGAAAGGAGATGAATCCAAACCCTTTTTTGTTGGAAAAATGACTGCAGGAGACGTTCTGCCTCTTCTTAACTACACATGATTTCTGTACTCCCTCCTGCACCACTCTCTGCAGTTCCACAGCACTTTGCAGTTGATGTTTCTTCCCTTCTTCTCCTTTTCCCATATTCCAGGTGAGTCCACAGAAGTCATAGGATAAGACACTATACAAAACAGCACTATGTAATAGTTCATCTGAGGACCCAGATGTCTTCCCTGTGAACTCTCTGGATCCATTGGGTCATCACTTATCTAACCATCTTGGTATGAAGAATCTGTTCCAACCTTTCTTCTCCCACCTTACATCTTTTCCCTATTTATACACCAGAGAAAGGTGTACACCTGCCCTGTGCCCACTCCTTTAGAGGCCCTCCCAGGGATGCAGCTTTTAACCGTGCTGCATTGTCACCAAGATGCCACACGCATCTCAAAGGCTCACTATACACCTCTTGCAAGAACTGTTACCTTTTGTCACCTCTTACCTGGCAGAGGATCGTGAGCACAGTTGATGATGGTGGCCCCAGGCTTTGTGCAGCTCACAGGAACATCGTGGGGTTTCGTGCTGCCCAACACCACCGCGTCTGCGTGACGGAGCTGGGCACGGCCCAAAGCACCCCCAGAAACAAAACAAGCACTTCATCTTAGAAACACACACTTGGATATGCATCTTAAAAATATTCAGACAGCAATAGCCTTTTGAGCAAAGCTTTTACAGACAACAAGAGCAAAAACTGATCCAAACTATCCAAACTGATAGCTTGATTCTTACCTGCGACAAAACTTAATAGCATTCAAAATTAAGTCAGGTAAACAAAAAGTGAGATCAGGTGAATGAGGTCAAAGTATCAATATTTAATGGGAATTATATGATTCCAAATAGAAAGTTCTACAATTATCCCAAAGTCCAAAATAACTTGGAGTAACTTAAGAAGGGTAGAAAGACAGTAAATAGTCATTTATAAAGAGTACAGTCAGATTGTCTGACAGTAGAAAACCAGGCCAGCTGACAGGAATGCAGGATGACACCTTCTGCAAAGATCAGTGCCTTTGAATACCAATTAAAGCACTTTTTTCCTTCTCAGCTCATGTCTGCTAATCACTGCCCCTGATTTAGCTCAACCCAGCAGATGCTGGAGCAAAAACGGTTACCACAAAAATTCTTATAATCAAAGACCCAAGTGCCTTTCTTTCCTCACTTCCTCTGAAACAGGGTCCTTTCCCAGTTATTAGAATCACCATGAGATAATGGACAGCACTAGAGGCAGATGTATTAAGATACACTAAAAAAGTAAAACACAGACATAGCATTGCATCAAGCCTGACTGCAAAAATTATTTCAGAAATACAGCAGCTTTGGTAATATTTTGGATAAATGCAAATTAATTCCAAGTGTCACAAACTCAGTGAGCCACTCTGTGAATTGATTTGTGACTGACAAGAGTTCCAGCTTCTTTTTTGGCCAAAAGTGCTCTGACACAACCCTGCCCACCACTCTTGCCAAGAAAGAACAGCTACAAATCTTGTCAGGATAGCAGGTTTTTGGCACAGCTGAGCATCCAGGAGGGGAGAAGAACGTAACTGCTGCGGAAAAGGCAGAAAACTAAAAAAACTCCATCTTCCCCTCAGAGGACCCAAGGATGGCCTAACCCTCCTTAGAGATCCCCATGTGGAAACAAAGCCAGCAGTGTGGGAGAAGATTTACTTGCTTGACAAATGACTAATGCAATGAGCTGATTCAGGCTTCAGTCACATGTCCAGCAACACTCCTGTGATTGCCTGTGCACAGCCATTCAGCCTGATTCAAACTGGTCACACTCCTGAGTCTGGTGCAAATATCAGCTTACATGCCACTCCCAGAGGGGCACATAAGTCATAATGCTTGCCCAGTGTCAGGTCAAATGATACTGGGAAATCTGCAAGGAAATCTGGATAAAAAGATGCTTCAGTGTCTCATGTACCAAGAATACCATGCTGAAGGCACACTTTGCCCTGCAAAAGAAGGAAATCTCTGCTGTAACAATCAACATCAACACAGAGAAAAACAGTGATTTTTCTCAGTTACATGATCACAGTCTTTTCTTTGCAAGGAAAAAAATAATTCATATTCTAGCAGTTATAAATCATATACTATAAGTCAAGATGCCTTTCCATGCAAAGCCTCTGGGACAAGGACTAAGAGCTTTGCACAGTGCTTAGCATCATGAGTTGATGAACAAGTTGAGAGCTGTATGCAACAAGTAATAATTCTGATGAATGTTCAGCCAACATACTTATGACAGAATTGATTCAATGTAACTGTAATGTCAGAAAACAACTGATGGAACCAAATATTCATCTCTATGACTACCGACCCTAATGTTGAAAAATGTTCTTAACAGCTGAACACAATTATTTTTGTAGCCAACATTAACAGTGGTTCGGATAGCTAACATCACACATACCCATAAATTTTAGAGAAAACCAGCTGGACCTTTCATCTCATTTCCCTGCCCCACCTCCTCCATGAAAAAAGTTGTATCACATGGCAGCAAAGAGTTGTAACACAGGTTCAAGACACAGATTTCTCAGAGCCTTCCCCACTGTGATTTCCTTTCCCTTATTTCACAAAGAAAACAATATTTTATGTGCAACTATTGAAAAAAGTTCCTGCAGAGTCAATAAAACATATATATCACAAACATTTTAGAGATTTTTTTCCCCTGTGAGTATTTTTTAAATGCATATCCAGAAACTGGGAGAGCAAGTCCACTGAAAGCAAAATACTTGTGTACAGAATTTTGGGTATCCTTGGAAGAGATTTATGTGATCTCCATCAGGGAATTTTAGTTTCACTTGCAAGAAGTTGTACCCATGCCTCCTTTGCTTTTAGATTTTTCTCTCTTGCCATAACCTACCCTTTTGACTGCCTGTTTAATCACTAAAGCAAGAAGCAAGCCTTGGCACACGTGTTCAAGGTCAACTCCTACATCAGAAACCGATCACGGACGTGAGAGAGGGAAAAGTCCTATGAAATAATTACAATTAGCCTCCCTTGGCAAATGCACCCGAGTCCCTGCACAGAGGACACAGAGGACACATCTGACAGGAAGCAGATGTTATAGGCAGCCATAGCAGAAGGTCAAGGAGATACCCATGAGGGAGAACATGTGGCTGCCTGCCTCACGCTTCCTGGACAGCCAGGCTCCATCCCATCAGGCTGGCCAGAGGAAGGAATGACAAGCAGCAGGCCAAACCCTCCCTAATGCACTAGGCAACTGGCTGGAGACAAAGTAAGCCAAGAGTCCAGTAGTATCCTGCCTTCTCACCGGTAAATATTTTTTCAGTTGGGAAGAGCCGTGCCAATAAATAATCTGCAACCTTACCTCATAACAAAATATGATCCCCTCCACCAAGATTTAAGTTGAAGCAGATTAAGAGGCACCACCCATTCCCAAGACAGAACACCAAATGTTAAAACAACAATACAGACTTTCCAGCCAAGTATTAAATGAAAATGGCACAAAGTAGCTGTATATTACAGATCACTGAAACTCCATTTTGCTGTGAGGACTGCATAAAATTTTCATTTACCCATAGTTAAAATGGACTGCTACAAAAGCCATTTTTAAATTCATGATCAAACAAAATAAAAATTGAAATTACAAATTGAAATTTGTAGACCCTCAGAGTCCTGGGTATGAAGCTAGGCCATATAAAATTGAAGAGATACAACAAGGAATAGGAATTTGATTAAAAGTTTTTTCACAACTCTCTTTATGAAAGAAGTCTCTTTGCACATCAGTTTACAGATCAGGTTCCACTTTAACCACAGCAATTCTAATTTCTTTCTGAAATCTTGACATTTTTTTCAGTCAGTGACTAGTTTCAGGTACTTTTTCCACAAAGGCATGTACCAATTATACAGTTGCTTCCAGCTTTCCCTGCCACATCACCCTGGATGCACTTGCCCTACACAGTGCATGTGAAAATCAAGCCCACACCTTTGCTGTGGGCTCAAGCCTGCCACTGTGACCCACACTTTAGCAACTGCTCCTCTAGCTTGCAGATAGGGGATACACTTCAAAATTGGAAGGAACAGAGATGATGTGCATAAGATGTTGAAGTGGAAATACTTTGTCTACATCATCATCATTAGAAACACTCATGGAGCTTCCCTCTCTTCACCTCTTACAGGATCCATGTGCCTGGTCTCCTGTTCCTTCATGCTTACAATACAAAAAGTGTTTTTCTGCCCATAACAAGAGTATTAGCAAGAAAGCAAAACTAGGAGAGCAAATAGCTAAGAGGTGTCTAAGAGTTTGAAGCTCAAGTGTTGGCTCTAAGGAAAAGCACACTGTGGCCAAAAGAAGCTCTTTTTCAACCTGAAAAGGAAACTCCCATTCAGCACTCCAGCTGAACCACTCTCATACTTCTTAACCTCACTTTTGCAAACAACTTTCCTATTCCTAATTATACCTAGACAGACCAATGCTCACTTATTTTACAATAAAATTATAAATGATAGCAGCTCTCTTAAAATAGGCATGATGTGGTTCACACATGGGCAACATTAAAGATGATGTGCTGAAATAATGACTGACTGAATTTAGATGACTGAAACAAAATTCTGTTTTCTTACAGGTTCTAAGTATTACCTATATTTTGGCAAGAAAATAATCAATTTTTTTCAATATGAATCTACTTGACAACCTCCTTTCAAACTAGAAAGCATAATTCTGACATAAAAAAGGATTCAAGACATCAGCTCCTATTCTTCCCATGTAATACAGAACTGACTTTTGGGGAGTCCCATTTTAAAATTACAGGGGACATGTCCCTAAAAGTATGTCACTAGGTCATACTTCAGGCACAATGCAGTGAATGTGCTTTGAAGAGCTATCTACACAAAGCTTAACATAATCAACATCAACACAGAGATAACATCTTAAGTATTTTCTCTAAGATGCTTCTGTCTTTATCTCTCTCAATATCAACACAGAGATGACATCTTAAGTATTTTCTCTAAGATGCTTCTGTCTTTATCTCTCACTTTATAACTTCTTTTACATTGAACCTATCCATGCAAACAGAACAATGTTTCTTCATGACAACTTTGCACGGATGTGCCAGAACCTTGTAAAATGCTTTCTTGCATTTGTGAACTATTAGAAAAACCCAGGAAGCTCAACAGTTCTGAAGGACACGGCTCAGCTGTGCCATGAGAACTGAAGGCAAGCAAACCCAAAATGGAACAAAAAGAAATATTAATAATCTGCTCAACTTAACAAAACATGAAGTGGGGAGGGAAAAGAACATTGAGACCGTGTCCATTATTTCAGATCAAAGCAATCAAATTAAAATGTACCATTATTTATTTTATTCCTTTTTCCTGCCATAAGACAGAACGGACTTGCTTTAAAGGAGCACATTAAGTCAGATGGTAGATGGTATTATGCTGTTTGTTAGGAGAACTACCCCTATATTTTCAAACTTTTCCTAAGGTGGATTAAAACACAGTTCCTCTTGATCATTTTCAAAATATTTTTGCAAAAGTGCACAAATGAAAAAAGCAATAATAAGTCCATAGCAATACAAAACCTCATCCAAAAACCCTACAAACTTAGTGTTGTGTAACTCATTTAAATTAAAAGAATTTCCAAAGGAAACACTTGTTGTTATGCTGTCCTTTTTAAAAAGAAGAACAAATCAGCAGAGCTAGTCTAAGGTAATGCAGTAACCACTTAAGAAATGCATTATATGGTTAGGGTCAGGGTTAGTGCCTCAATGCAAATAGGCCTGGCCAATGGATTACAATAAATAACATTCCCCTACCCTTAAGATAAAATTGTCCTTTCCTGTTATATATTGCAAAACAAATGCATCTCAGTGAAAAAATCATACTCTTCATAAGTTTATCCCTCACTTCCTAAGTGAAGTTATTATGCTACCATAGGTTATACTTCCAAACAACAGCACACAAACTGCCACTGTAGAAGTGTCCTATTCAGAGAAAGGAAAAGTTAGTGTATTGTGTAGGAAAACAAAACATGAATTCTTGATTCTTTCAAGTCTTTGAAAAACTTAAACATCGACTAACACATTTTCTTACTTGAAATTCAAATAACAAAAAAAAAAAAAATCAAGAGAAGAAACCTGGTGAACATTAAACCTGTTTTTCATAATCAGCATTTTAAACAAGCAGAAGAATATAATTTCTATAATCATGTTATCTAACTACATTGTCATTCAAATACAGGTTGCCACAGTACTTCATTGTTTGGTTAGAAACTTGTGCTCAGTTTCTGACTCTCCAGCTTCTGGGAATATGAAACAGGATATTTTTCCCTGCATGCATTAGATTTTATCAAGGAACTAGAGTTAACAATCAGAGTGACATCCAGACAGGTTCAGCACAGCTCTGGGATTACTGGTGACATGCTGCTCCAGGCTCACAGGTGAGGAAGAGGAAGGTAGGTTTCCCCTGGGCTCTGCTGATTAGTCCCACAGGCAAAGTACAAACTCTTTTACTGCCAAAAGTTAAAATGAACCTGGGAAGACTTAAGTGCACAAAGCCTCAAACTTAGGCTTCCCATTCTGTTTCCCATCAGTGGTCTGCTCCAAGAGGTAAGCTATGGGGAATGCCAAAAAGCAAAGCGTGATTATGGGAAAGCATCTGGATGGAAGGAAGCAGAATTCTCTCCAGCTATTGACAGCACTGCACAAGCAGCTCCGGGCCCAATCCAGATTTTTTGCTGTGAACCAGTGGAAACACCTCTGGCCACCCTGTCACCCACCCCATCCAGCCCAGAGCAGTCCTCTAGCACAGCCCCAAGCAATGAGAAATAGCTGAGGAATGAGACATGGCAAGGATCAAGTTCACAGCACTCCATCTCCCAGAGCACCATATGTTTCCTAAGTGCTGTCAGTCACTTAAAAGCCTAGAGCTGAGACAAGCCTGACAAAAACATCCACAGCTGTGAAAACACGGGTGTGCCAGAGAACTTTCTATCGCAGCTGCTCGCATTTGTTTCCTCCTCCTGTCTGCGCCTCCCAGGCCCGGAGGTCGGACACCATCGATTTGCCTTGGCTGCCACCCTGTGGCTCGGGCTGTCCAACACAAGAGCTGTCCCCAGCATCGAGCCTGCGCCCTGCTGCACATGCCCCCACGACAATGCCACCCCAGCTGGAGCGTGTCTAAAAGCTCCGCAAAAAGCAGCCAGGGAGATCTTGCAAATCCTTTGGTTTAAGGCTCCTGAATTTCTTTGAATTCTTTTACAGTTCTCTTCAAAGATAAAGATTGGGAATTTCAAAGATAAAGATTGGGAATTTCTTTGTCCCAAGAGCAGCAACACTTGCAAACCTTTAGGACACAAATCCAGTGGAAGTAATTTCATGCAGATGACAGTATCACAGGACAAGAAAAAAAGAGGGCATTTCTCTTGCACAGTGAGAAAGCAAAAGGGAGACTTAAAACATTTGTTTGTTGGATTCCCTTGGTGTAAAATAATGAAGTTAGAGCAGCTGCTGTTACATGTAATATTCTGGTAGAGGTCAGTATTTGCACTATATCTGAGCAAGTAAGAAGGAGAAAAGACCCTAACCCACATTGGCTACCAGCAACCCCAGTGCCACCTGTGACTGCAGCGAGGAGTCTCCCTCTTGGGAAGGGCAGCTAAGGGCAGGATTGTCAGGTGGACAGCTGCCAGGGATGGGCAGGTAGTGGGGATGCAGGATGAGGCCAGGCAGACAGAAGAGCACTCACCTCACTCTGCAGCTGTGGGGCTTCCCAGTGGCAGCTGAGCACGGCGGCTCCGCGGCGCTGCAGCACGCTCTGCAGGGCAGCTCCCTCTGCCCCGCGCGCTCCCACCAGCAGCACCTTCTTCCCACCTGGGTGACACAAGGCACATCACTCAGCCACCCCCTGCACAGGGCACCAGCATCAGCAGCTGCATGGAGCTCCCCCCAGGCTACCCAGGGCTGCAGCACTGCAGAAGGGGCTGCAAAGGGGCTCAGAACAGGACAGTGTTCTGTTCTCTCAGTGCCTGTACAAGCACAGCTGGCACTTCTGGAGCCCGTGCAGTGACAGCAACCTTAAGGTCTTAAGGAGTTTCCTGGTGACTCTCTAAATTCTAGTAGGCAAATACTGTTCTTCTGGCTTTCTGGTATTTTGCACAAATCCTTTCATTCATGTTTGTTATTAAGTACATTTAACCTCCTGTTTACAGTTCTGCTACAGAAATCCTCGCTTCACCAATTATGAATCACTGTAAGAGTGACAACTTCTGACACACTGCCTTAAACCAACAGTGTCTTCAAACACAATAAACCTGCTTGTTTAAATCTGCCATTTCAGTGTCAGCACTGACACAGCACAATCCACACCAAAGGATTTGCTCAGCAGCAATTTACAGGCAAACCCGGGCTTCTCCAACTCCTCACACTAATCAAAACAATCAAGTGAAATCCCCAAGTGATGCCTGTATTTTCTGTTTGGAAGACTCTCATGTCTTGTGTGTCTTCAGTGAAATGAAACCTGCTGATGGCAGTTAACCCCTGTCTAACACCCAAAATCTGTAGGCCTGAGACCTGTTTCTACAAATACAGCATTCAGATGTCACTGAGCAGGAGGACTCCTCCTCACTAGCAGGAGACAAATACGTGTCAGGTGGGAAAGCAACACAAAATAGAAAACACAACAAGGTCGGATTATACCTGGCTCCCAGCCAGGATTAAAACTGAGTAAAACAGGCCAAAATTAATGTAATGATTGTGATAGAAGTGCTCACCTATATCTTCAAGAAGTTCCATCACAGCACACACTGTAGGAGGAACTAGACAGTCACAGACATCACCATGTACCAAACGTCCTAGGTTTACACTGGATAATCTGCAGTGGAAGAATATGGCAATTTAACAAATAAAAAAAGAGCTTGTGTAACATAAATCCCCAGCAATGCTTGTAACATGGCTAAGAACTAAATCCCAGGAGCAAACATCTCTCACAAAAGCAAACCCTTTGATAGTCATGTACTGCAGCTAATTTGTATCATCCCACACCTCAGTTAGACAAACACTGAGCCTCAAGAGAGGCCAGGAAAGGGATCTGAGTAAGAATGAGTAACACAATCCCAGGATACACAGGCAGCTCTTTACTTGTCACCACGTCACCCACAGCACATTGGGCACAAGCATTTCAGTGGCTGCAGTGAGACCAAACCAGTGCTGCCAGAGCCAAGCTGGCTCAGGAGGGGGCAACCCAGGTGTTCCCACACTGCACTCCATTCTCTCTCACAGAGAAGGATGCCCCAAATTTTCCATTCTCTGAAAATCTCCTGTACTCCACATAATGGAAAGGCTTTTGAAGGATTTTTAGATATTTTTCCTTACATGAAAAAAAAAAAATAAGAGAGTGGGATAAAAAAAATGGTAATAGCCTGCAGCTAAGAGCAGGAAGGCTACAAGAGCAGCAAAATGATAACTCACAAACCTAAATTACACCAGTGGTCTCTTCTGAGAGCAGTACAACTCAACACTGATTGGAAATCTGTGCTAATGGGTCCAAACTATTATAGCTTACTCTCTCACCACAAGAGAGTGCTGTAAGGAAGTTAAAACCTCTCTGCAATTTTTCCATCAATCCTTCTTGTGAAAATTCAGTACTTTGTACCACTTGTATTACTGAAGTGCTGAAATACCTTAAGTATCGCCTGTAAATCAAGATTTCATTTTTTATTTCTTTGAAAGGACTACGCCCTAAATGTACATTATATAAAAAATAAAAAGATAATGACCAAAACTACTTCAGCAAAAGATTTCTCATTGATTCAGAGGCATCTTTTATCATTGCTCAATAGCACAGCTAGACACATTGACTGAGGAATCCATTAATGAAAAGAAGAGGAGAAAACTGATTTTACAGAGCCATCAGGCTTGTGCCTGCTAAAATTATTTCTCAGTGCTCCACTTACCCATCCACATCCTTCTCTGGTTTCACAGCATTTAATACCTTACTGCTATATAAGCTTTCTGGGAGGTCAAGAGCAAGGCCCTGCACGTTAGGATCCTCATTCAGTCTCAAGATTTCACTGACAATCTACGAAGTTAATAGAAAACATTAAAGATCAGAACAACAGATAAAAGGAGAATATGATTAGAATGAGGTAAAAACTGTAATTTTTTTAAATTACTTTATGGCCACCTTGGCTTCCCTTGCTTATTACAGTAAATTCCAAATGAAAAAGCTCTACTCAGTTTATTATCAGTGGCTGAACAAATTAAGCCACCCTGACTCTATTCTAAACATCTTGCAAAGCAAACACATATTATGTGACATTATGCTGCCAAAAGCAGTTTTGGTTTCAGCACTCCAAACCTCAGCAAAAGCTTGTCACTGTAATGGCTTCTGAAGTTGCTTTCAGACACAGGACACCTGAGTTAATACATAGTGCAAAACACCACCAGATCACATCCCAATAAAAGGACAAAAAGCTGTACCACTTGAAAGAACAATTATACAAGAAAAAACTCATTTTATTATACCAGCTTATATGGTTACCAATTGTCCTTCTCAAAACACCCTGATCCTAAGAGCTGGCAATTGCCTTGTGAAGAACTGTTATGTTGAAAAGGCACCGCAGGGAAGTTTATCAAGTTCAAGTACTGAACCACATGCAAGTTCAAGTGGTTTGTAATTGGGCATATCTGACATCTGAGACTGTCCTACCTACCCTTGATTCCTTCCTCTCTAAAATATAATGCTGATTCATGCCATTCTGCTGTGACCAGAAAGAATACAAAGGAACCAAACATGTCAAAGTTTTTTAAGGTGAGAAATATGTCATGCAAGCATGTTTTCCCCTCTCATCTATAAAACCAGTGTGCAAGCATCACAAAGCTTTATAATAGAATTGGATTAACATCCAACAGTAAAGGATTATACGTGGTTTTTTTCCCTCAACTAATACTATGCCTTTTTAAAATGCTTTTCTTTTTCTTTGCTTTTTTTTACAACTACTCATTGTAATTGTGAACTCTATTACCCGAACACTTGATATGCAACCAACATTAAGCTAGGGGAAATAGGCAGGAGTTAGATTAGCTGCAACTCTGAACCAAGAGAACAAACCACTTTCATGCTAAACACAGATTACATGAGCATGTCACTGGTACAGAAATGCCTCTTTAGTTTCCTGACTCCTGAGGCAAAACCAGGCATATCTCTTAAGGTCCTATGGCACTTGACAGCAACAGGACTGGTATACATTGCCCTAGAAACAATGAATGTATACGGACATGAAAATATCTGAATTTTTCTTTAAAAAAAACCCCTTTGATATGCTACAAAATGCTGAGGGCCTACAGAGCAATTAAAAACTCAAGCTGCATTTCTGCTTCCTGGAAAAGTAATTCAGTTTTCCATTTTAATTGCATCTTACTTTAATTCAGCTTCCCATCATCACAGCATTTAAATTACTTATAAGTCATGCAGGGTAAAGCAGTATAGTATTAACTTGCCCTTGTTGTACACAGGAAGTTATGGCAAAACCCAAATGTGCATGGCATTGAAATCCCTCCCACCTTCCCACACCAGGGAACACAACTGAGATGTGGATTTTAGTAGATTAAAAAAACCTGCCATAGTGAGTAAGCAAGACAGTCCGCAAACCATGATAAATTTTATTGGAAATAACTTCATTTAAATAAAAGAAATACCCCATTTTTCTCTTTAAATACACAGCTAAGCCACTTCTAAGATACAACTTCAAACTAACTGCAACTACTGCTGCAGTTCTTGAGATTACACTGCAAGGCAGTAACATTTTAAGAACAAAGTGTACCAAAAAACAAAAGAGTACACAGAAATCACAAGCCTGCAGGATTATCAAACAAGGAGGCCAGCTGATAACAGATTCATCTTCTACTACACATTTCTTCACTGGTTTAACTTTCACATGGTTTTCTATATTTAAAACATAATTGATATTAAGTGCTGCACCTTCAACAAGGTAAAGAATTCAGGCCTCTAGTTATTTGGGGGGATGTTTGTTTTTTAATACATAATTGAAACATTAAAAGATCAATAGACAAATTCAACACCCCCTTCTTCCCCCCTCCCTTCCCCATACAATCATGTAATCTTTAATTTCCCTGAATAATCTGGGCAATAATCAGGTAGAGTCACAAGAGAGACTGCAGGAGACAGGATACCTGAGCTGGTATGGGGTTAAACACCAAGCACAAACCCATAACATTACTCTTGATTCTACCCCAGCTTGCCAGGGAACAGCAGACATGCCCATTAATTCTCCTTTTTCACTCTTGCCAGTAAGAGGATAATATTTGCTATTTAAACCAAGGCAATCCTAAGCCTAATTTGAGTTACCAGAGGTCAGTCAAAATAATAATGAATGTCAGTAATAAATAGAAGTTTATGACAAAAATGGAAAAGGAAGGCTCTTTCAAGTGCTTCAGTTACCTCATCTTTGGTGCTGCCTTCAGGAAGACAGATGTGAATAACACGTAGACCAATCTGTTAAAAGAAAATACTTAAAATTACCCAAGGCAAGTAGCTCATGATTATTAACACATGTATCAGCTAAAGCTTACCTCTTTGGCAAAGTTCTTGTTTGCTTCTTGAATCAACTGGTCATTATGTGCCTTGGGGAACAAAACAGTAATTGAGTTTTAAAATAATGCATTTTAAAAATGAGTACACTAATGCACATGTCTATGCAAGAAACATCATGACAATGTCTGTGTCTAAAGGTATTCAAACTAATAAGATACAATTCTAAGAAAGAAGCAAAGGCCATCCCCGTTAATCCCAGATAGTTCAAGACTGCTGACAGTGAAAAAAAGAGCATTAAAAAGCACAGGCTTCATGGAGAGGCACAACTCCTGTTAGGGAAGGAGGGCTTGCCCTCTATCCCTCCCTGCACTGCCAGCATCCCACTCCCCAAATGTGGCACCTGGTGCTGAGTGGCAGAACAGAAGCTGCTGCACTGAGGACACTGTGCAGAGCTCACACTGTGCCAGGGAAGAAGAGACAGGTCTAGGGACAGCCCAGCAGCTGCTCCCCTGTGACAGTAAATGTGGGACTGTGTCCCCACACTGACTGCTCAAGAAGTTTAACTGGGATGGAGCAGCCGGTGGTACCACACTGCCCCCTGTAATGTCCTGCTGCTGCAGCACTGGCAGGTGAATATTTACCTTGTGTAAGTGCAGACGGTCCCTGCCATAAACCAGCTCCTATCAAAACCCACTGAGCAGCACAGGTGAGGCCAGAGCTCAGCACATGGGCTGGCAGAGTGCAAGGGCAGGACAGGAGGTGCAGGGGAGCCAGAGATGCTTTGCTGAGCTTTGCAGGGCAACAGCTCCACTGTTAAGCATGATCCTGATGCTTTATTTTCCTTTTCAGCATCAAAAAAATTAAGAAGCACCCCCCCCAATCATTTTTTGCTGTTGCATAGCTTCAACCAAGGTTCAACATGGATAATAATAAGCAACAGAGGTATCAATTTTGGCATTGATTCAGATTTAGTTGACTCAAGAGGAAAAGGACAGTCCTAAAATCATTCCACTGCAGGTTCAGCCTGCAACTCCTCATTCCCAGTCCTGCAGAAGAGGCGGTGCCCTGTCATGCCAGCTGCTGTTACTCACAAGTAAAGGAGGTAACTTCCCTGCCCTCCCTCTGCTCCTCTGGGCAGATGTGGCACATGGGGAGCAGCACACATCTTAAGGCTCTGCCCACGTTACTGGTAAAGCAGAGCATCACAAGAACATCTGTAGACCAAAGCAAGTTTTCTTTGCACCAACAAATACACATTTTAAATGGGCTCTGCTTCAGTCTTCGCAACCAGATCAGAGGTAGGGTGACTGGAAAGCTGGAGAACAGAGCTTGGGTGAATTTTACCCAGAGGGATCTGGGCCACATGTTCCTAGAGCCACCTCATGAGGCAGACCAAGTGAGGTAAACAGGGACAAGAGGGACATCCCTTCCATTGTGCCAGCACAAAGCATGCATGTGGCCATGCAGAAAAACAGATCCAGGAGACAAATGTGGTTGAAAGGAAGCCTCTTTAAACCCCTTGGGCTGGAGTAGATCCCAGTCCTAGTCCAGATCATGGTGCAGCTGGATGGAAACTAACAGGAGTGAGAAAAAACAGGTCACTGCTTTCCTATCAAACCTTAAGCTTTAGCCTTAGAGGGTTCTGTGAAAATGCAATTACCAGGAAGGGTGAAAGATGAGAGAGAGACTGAGAGAGACTGATCCTCACTAGAAGACCTTTTGTTGCTGCTTTACTTAGATTCACTATTAGTACTTAAAAAAATACTTGCAGTTGTGTTTTAAACTCAAAACCTACTGGGTCAGAGTTTCTGTGTGTGCCCACTCAAAATCAATACCACCATCCTAGGAAACAGGACAATTACATTTTTGCCAGCATGGCAGTGGGTCCCCTCTGAATGATAAACATCCCTAGTTTTGTGGCTTTCAAACCTTCAGAAATCTAAGGATGAACATCTTTCAGCTTTGCAAAGATAGCAATCCTCATCTCTGATTTTGATTGCCTATCAAAATTGGCACCATCAGTGAAATGGAAAGCTCTTCACAGCATTAGTGAAACAATGTTTCTCAATTACTGCAAGATTCCTTCACATCAGAAAGTGCTGCTACTCCTATACAATGCTGACACTTTACACTTATTTTACACAGACCCTTCTGAGTTGACTGGGACTTTTTAGTGTGGTTTTCCTCTCCTTAGAAGAGCAGGAAGACATTGATAAGCTGTAGCTAACCAAAGGTAACATGGCTGTCAGGAAGCAAAAAGGTCTTTCATTAATCCTGGCATTGTTATTTCAGGGTTTCAGGGGTGGGAAGTGAAGGGGGCCCACATTTTCAGGAACATAAGGACTTTGCTCAGGATTGCAAAAAAAGCTTCAAGCTAAATAGAGGTTTGAGAACACTAATTCAACTATTAAGTTAATCAACTTAGACAAGCTGTGAGAAAAACTGATCCATACTTAAAATTAGGAAGACTACATTGGCAAAAGGAAGAAGAGACAAAACTGTTCCTTTCCTTTGCAAAGCCTTCCCAGTCTGAAGTTTGCTGTGACTGTTTCAGGCCTGAAGAAGGGCAATCCACCATCTAGTGGAGCTATCTCATCCTATTGCTTTGCTTTATAATAAAGCAGACAATATTCTTTATTAAAAAAAAAAAAAGATTAAAAGTACTTTCTGCAGGGTGTGCTTCTGAAGTTTCAGACAAGTAACAGTACCAAAGGAGATCTCTCACAGCCAGTGAGTGCACAGACATACTTTACCTGAATAATGGCAAGCGTTGGCTCAAGCCGAGGGTTTTCTCTCTTAAGAGAGGCCAAGGAATTCTTTGCATTGTCAGTAACTTTGCTGCAACACAGTGACAAGCAAATCTTTAACAAAATTAATCCTCCCAACATTAGTGGGCAGAAACCAGTATTAGTCAACAATGTAACAGAAACGCTTGGGCTTGTGAATTTTCAATCTCCAAAATTATGGTTGGACGTGAACTGCGAGGGCTGGTGCTCAGCAGGTAGGTACAGAAAACCTCAAAAGGCCATTTTTTTTTTTTAATAGGTATGTGGGGCATTGCTCTGGCATGCCCAAAACTTTATAGCTAGGCTGTGCTAATTCATGAGAAGGCTTGTCCAGCCCCACCATGGGAAGCACAGCAGGGAACCACCACCCTGAGCTGTCTGATCAGCTCTGGGGTGAGGTGGGTCCTTCACCTCCATACCCTCGGCCAGGGCAGTGAGAGATGCAGAGGCCTTTACAGCTGGGGCTGCCACAGCTTAACACGGGCTACACCAACCCCTGAGCAGCAGAGCAGCCACTTTCATGGATGTCTTTAAAAACCGCTGGCAGAAGGGAGACAAGGCAGCTCTGTTCCCCACACTGCTTCTTGGAAAAACTAGTGACAGCCAGGCACTGGGAATGCTTTCTGGAAAAAAAATTCTGGGTAAGCGGCGGCCAGCTCTCCTCCGTTACCTTCTGCGTGTGCAGGTGATACTTACCCAGCTGGGCAAAGAGGAGACCCCCTGAAATATGTCTGTCTGTCTGTCCCCCATAGCAAGGAAGACAAACAGAGAAGAACAGCCTGGAGTGGATTTTTGACAGTTCCTACTCTTGCAGAAGCCAAGGACCAGTTCCATTCAATGCCGTTGCAAACTATCCCGTCCAGGGCTGAATCGGGACGGGGAAGGACCAGGGACACGTTTTTCCAGGCACACATCTGCGCACCGCCTCACCTGAGCCACCGCCACATGACGGCAGCTCTGCCCGCTCTCAAAACGCCACCAAAACCAAAACCCGGAGCAAATCCCGCCAGCGCTTCTGGGGCAAGGGGGGCACTTTACTACGGGGTACCCCAAAAATCCCACCTCAAAAACCAACCCGACGCACCCGGCGAGGGCGCATCGCCCAAATCCCCCTCACCCCTCCTCCCTGCGTGCCCACACCATCGCACCCCCCGGTTGCATCAGCCGGCGCTGCCTCCCCACGTGCGTCTCTTACCGGGCGGCCGCCGCCGCGCTGCCGGCCCGGGGCAGCGGCGCGCTCAGCCCGCGGCGCGGCGGGAGCGGCGGGGGCGCCGCGGCGGCGAGAGCCGGGGCCAGGCAGCGCCGCAGCGCCGCGCTCCTCATCGCTCCGGGGCGCTCCGGCAGCCGCGGCGGGCACGGGGCAGGGGCGGGAGCGAGGCCGGGGGGCGGGCGGGGATGGAGCGCCGCCTGCCCCCGCTCCCCGCCCCGCCGCTGCCCCGCTTTCGCTTCCGCTTTTTTTTTTTTGCAAGAGAAAAACTGCATCCAAATCACCCCCGAACAGCAGCTCCGACAGGCTGAAGCCAATAACTTGTTTCTTCCGCGCCCCGCAATGAAAAGCACCCAAAGCTTTTTGTATACTCAACGTTTATTAAAAATAGTATGAAATGGTCCCTGGGAGAAGTTACAATAGTAGTAGAAGTCCCTTTTTTCTGGTTGGTTGGTTGTTTTCCCCTCCCTCCCAATTCCACTGATTGCATGAGTTGCGAGTTAAACATTCTCCTAAAGCCGTTTAAACAAATCTAGATGTTCGCCCACAGATTTACCTTCTATCCATATTTACAATACTTTACAAGCTATATTAAATAAATATGGGCTCTGCTACACCTCGGCGTCTTAAATATGTACAACATTATTTTTTCAGTCGGATTTTACTAGATAGATAGGGGTCCTATCACAGGGGTTTTGCTGACTGTAACAAGTATCCCTGTGGTACGAGCTAGTAAGTACCATGACCAACCAGCCCTCAAAATAACAATTCCTAGCCAATGCAAGATACGTGTGGTAAATAATTTAGTCAGTTCTAATAAATTCAAGTCCTCAAATCTTGGTCTACAAGTAGTTAGCTGTACACTGATAACTTCAGTTTTTCCTCATGGTAACCTCTGTAGTAAATAATCAGCTGTTCTGGAAGTACAGTGCTCTGTAACTGAAGGGAGTGATATGTGGTTAGTAAAAACAGTATTTCAATGAAATTCCTTTGTTTATTGATATGTTTAACTCGGTACTGGCTTTATCCATGTAATCTGAAAAATGTAAGCACCAAAAAAGAACAGTCACACAAGATGATCAGTGTAGCTGTATCTAGGCTTTCCTTTCGGTACAATGTTTTCAAGTAACAGAATCCAAAACTGTGCAACAAAGATGATGAAGGGGAGTTAAATGTCGATGGTACTGGAAAGCCTGTCCTTGCTCTAAATGGCAGCTTTTATTCTATACGCTATTTGCAAAAGAATGGAATGTATTCTCATTTTTAAGCTACTTTTTTATTGTACATAAATTGGATTAGAGTCAGCACTGACTGATTTACAAAAGATATCTTTTACCTCTCTCTGTCAGGAAGGGTCACTTCCTCCTACAGGAGATGCACGCCCTGGGGACTGCAGCTTGTCACTCAACCAGCAGTGTCACTGAACCCCTCTATGGGCCAAACATGCCCCACAATTGGTATTTCACCCAAGAATCTGGCCAAACTTCATTGTCTCACAGGGTTACTGACACTGGGGCTTGAACAAGCGCCCAGCAGCTCACTGCATGTAACACACAGCTTTGTTTCCAACTCTACCCAGCACCTTTCGACTGCTGGGTGCTGAGCTACAAGATACTCAGATCTGGCTTGCATGTCACAAACACCACCATCACTGGAGGTACCAAGACTGGCCTAGCCCTCTTGACAAGCAGTGCAGCTCCCCTTCTAATGCCAAAACCATTCCCCAGGCAAGGACTGTGTCACATCCACAGGTTCTCATAAAGCCTCCACTGCCTGTCTTCTGCCTCCTACGCAGTTCCAGTAAGTAGAAAAGAGGCTTCAGACACAGAGCTATCAGCCTGGCACAAGTACTAGGACTAGATTTTCTTTAAAACGTAAGAAGCTTGCTCTAAAATAATGTAGCATATGCATTGGTCCCACACACTTGGAATCTGCCTGATGAAAAGTAACGTGCAAAAAGGTGTGTGCAATTGCACACATAGCCTGTTGGTGTAATCGCCAGAACCCTGCTCAGAAATCTGCACAGTCACAGGAGCAGCTGCCCAGCTAAATGCTCCTGTATGTAAGCAGAGTAATCATACAGGTATTTTGGATGCAGAACACTGGACACCAACTGGAAAGTCTAAAAACCAAGGTTTCCAAATGATAAAATGGCTTAAGAATCAAATGTTATTACACCTGGTTCGATGGCAAGAATCAGGGGGTATCACACCTAAGAAAGGAAGAGATGTGAAGGTTCAGCAGGAGATGAGAAGTTCACATGTGCTACAGAGAGACCCCAGACAGCGCACACGTGGCCTTTTTCACATCCAGGATTCTAAACCATTTTTGAAAAGGTATGTTTTGCATCTATTTACAACATTATTGCAATACAATGCCTGATAGTGTAATATTATGGAAATACGTGATGCCAGTACTGATTGTCCTAGTATATATTCTGTCATGATAAGGCAGTACAGCTAGAAATTACTGAAAGCATCAAGCAAAGCTACTTGAACTGAGACACTGAAACTTTTCCCTTAAAGACTGGACAATATTCTGCTGATTAGGAGATGGTACTCTCCACAGGTAGTCATTCAGTTTATCCGAATCACTGTAAGCAGTCAGATATGGGGTAAGTGCGTGTTTGCTGCTGGCAGATTTTGCAGGAGTACAGGAGACAGTTTTGCCACAGAATATGTCAGAAGGAACAGCATCTGTGTTACGCAGTTTAGGATCTGATTTTCTTGTTTGGTTCTGAGAAGTCTCTAAGTCAGATCCCTCATCTTCAGACTTTATTTCAACATAGTCATCATCATCCCCTTCTCCGTCTTCAGAATCTTTGAAATTCGAGAAATAGTTCTGAGTAGCCATTTGCGCTGTCAGAGGGGAAGCTCTGTTCACTCTCAGGACCTTTTGAGAATCCTGCAGAATCATATCTGAATAGTTTTCAGGGATCTGCTTTCTCATCTCTGGCCCTGTATACCCTGAAGCAATTCCAGGAGTTTGATGGCTGTTGAATCGAAAGTTCCTATTCAAATGGAGCCTTTTGTTATCAATTTCATTATTATATACAATTGATTCTCCAGACCTGTTGACCACTATTGAGGATGAGGACTGTGACCTGCTGTATGCCTGTGGTTTTACACTGCTCACTCTCCTCCCCAGCGAGTTATAGACGTGATCTTGGTGCAAGTTTTCTTTGTTTGGCTGGCTTATAATGGCACTCCACCTCTGCGCCGGGACATGCAAACGGTTGGAAATTTGAAGGGAAGGCACTGAGCCAGCTGATGGCAACTGCTTCAAATTGCTTTTTGTACCAGCTTCTGTAAATGAGTTCTTGGACTTTGGGTCCTGGGATTCGGAGCACGGAGAGAAGTCGGCCAGCTCGCCGTTACTGTAGGTAGAATGCAAAAGCCAATCTTCTGCTCTTGAGCAGTCATAGGCAGGCTGGCAACGGGGAGGAGATGTGGGGGTGGAAAACCTCCCAGCTGAGGGCTCCTGGGGAGTGGCCCCGGCTTCCTTTTGGACCTTAGGCGTACTGTCTCTGAAGACAATTTGGTCATAAAGCTGGGAATATTCAGCTATTCTGGCACCTAGAAAGAAGATAGAATTAACTTAGCAGAGACGAGGAATCCATTTCAGCAAATCATACAGAAATTTAAAAATCTCAAAACGCTTAGTATTAGAAAGCTCTTGGAGAAGAGCTTTCAGTTGTGTCAATAAACAGTTGGCCTCTGCAAAGTAACATGAAACACTGGAGGCCTTTGCATCACATTTCTGTACACTTTGTTGAGAAAAAGAAGCATAAAATATCTTGCTACAGTGAATAGCCATGAAGGACACAATGCAGCACACGGTTCCAATAATATGCTGCTTGTTTCATGTTAAAATGGAAAAGAACACTCTAAAAATGGCCTGGTAAATAAGATATTTAGGGGATTTTAAAAATATCACAAGAAAGTAAGAATGACACTCTGGTGCATGGAGTCTGCTGGCTCCACATCTTCCATTTGTTTTAATTGATCATGGACAAAAATGGTTCCAGACCGGTTGCATATCCATGACTTTGCACATTCATTAGCTAATAGAAAGATTATCAGCTCTTTCTTATTTGACCACATTCCTTATGCTTATAGGCATGATTCTGAACGAAACCTGAGCAAATGTATGTGACTTGTTAGAAGGCAGACTGACTTGAAAAAACACTGGCTTAGTCAAACTCTAAAGATCACTCTATTAAAGGAAATAACTGCTTTTCTGTAGGGAGGCCAATAGTGCTTCAGGCATGATTTCTACTTCCAGCCTCAGCCGAATTGCTCTTTCCTGACACTGCCCTGCTATTTCTTCCCAAAGTTATCAAGTAACAAGAAATGAGATATAAAGGACCATTCATGTTAAAGCAGTCTGAGAAAATTAATTTCTGTTGTAACACAGAAAATACAATCCTGATACTCAATGATCAAGGTGAGAAAAATTCATCATCTTCCAGTTCAGAACACAAGTTCACTGAAAGTTACTGAAGAAATGTATCTGTACAGAAATGTTTTTAACATACCAATAGCAGGACCTCCTTGTTTTTTCTCCTCCAGAATAGCAGCAAGATCTTTGTGTTTCAGTTTCTGTTGTCTGCTAGCTGGCTGTTCCTGCTCTGGACTTTTAACTTTCAAAAGCTGGTTAGCCTTCTTAATTTTTTGACTGTACTGTCTTGCCATCATAAAAACTCTGTTCTTTGTTTTATCCATAACAGCCAAGTCATTTTCCACGCCCTCTGCAGGTGTGCTGGACAGAACACTACTGACGGGCTCATACGGAGTGTCTACAAAAGGCATCTCACTGGAGAAGGAAGATCTGTTCAAACTCATGAAAGAGTTCTCCTTGCACGGCGTAGTGTCTTCAAGCCTGAGATTAGCCTCACTTATGGTGGCAGCCCTGGGCTTCACAGTTTTAGGGAAAATAGGAGTTTCTGGCAGAGAGAGAGTAGACAGTGAGTACTCTACATCTTTACTCAGTTCAGGTGTGCTACCAGCATGCAGCCTTTCCTGCATGTCATCTTTACAAACAGGAAAGGCTGCAAGGACACGGTCTCTTGTCTTTTCCTCATTTTTCTTGATGTAATTCTCCAGGTCATTCCAAA